CTTTCTGGGCCAAGCTGCGGCCTGCAGGAACGTTTGCGGGCGGGGCCCGTGGGCGAAGAGAAGAGGCAGGCTTCGGACAGGCCACAGAGAGGCCGCGGCAGGCCTGCCGGCTGCCGTGGAGCGTTTGAGGGCGGGGCCCGTGGGTGTCTAACGTCGCCTTCGGAAGCCCAGAGAAAAAGCTTTCTGAGCCAAGCTGCGGCCTTTGTTTGGCCAGTGCAGGAGTGATGCCGACGCAGTAGGGCTTTGAAGGCGGGGGTGGCTGCTTAACGTGGCATGCTGGGGCTTTCGTTTGCACTGCCACCCGTTCCACCCTCCGGTGTCCCTGGCGCCGCCCCGCTTAGGCAAGGGCTAAGCAGGGGTCGGCGGATACAGTAACTACTAGTAACAAGGACGCTACAGTACTAGGTGGAGGCCATCGCTATTAGGTTGGAGGCCATTGCTACTGTAGTAGCTACAGAGATCTTGACGTCAAAAACTCGACAGTGTCGGAGAACGCAGGTCTTTATCCTGTGGGAGCGAAGCTTCCGAGAGGCTTCGAGCTCGCTGGCAATCGTTCAAGCTGGAAGATCACGTGCTACATTCTCTTTTTCCTTACTTCAAGATAAAGGGGCTCCTTTCCCTTTGATTCTTTTTGCTAGCAACCATATATAAATAGTATATAATAACGAAATACATTGAAACTAGTTACACCGATAGACTAAAGATAGTTATGTAAAGATCTACAAACATGTATGATGCATAGATGTAGAGGGAACACAAAGAATGACAAAGGTATCCCGCTGGCCATGCTGCCCAGGCAACGCGTGGAAGCTTCACTGGCATCGTTGCAGCGACTGTTGTGGCATCGGTGGCTGTGGTGGTGTGAGTCCAAGTCGAACCCGCCTTCGCAACATTATAGTGGTCCCCAAATAGATAGAAACGATGTCCAATACATTCTGAACGTGGGGATCTACCTTTCTATCTATTTGAGGGTCAAGATAACCTTCCTTCATGGAAACCCCTTACTCGTTCATGAGCAGCACTCGCTTGTGCCGAGATTGGACTCACCTTCAGTGATCTTGAGAATGGCCCGGTGCCCAGCACTCACCCTCTGTAATGTCCACTTTGAGACTCGTCTTTGCCCATGCTTGCCCAATCCTTCACGCAGATCTTCATGGAGCATAGAAATACAAAAGGGACTTTGAATACTATGGAATGTTTCAGGCTTTGGCATTAGTTTGAGCGATCGGATACAAGACCCTAAGCCTTAAAACCCTCATACACCCTAACTATCTCGATTGGTGAGGGGACGAATCATGTGTTCTGGCTCTAAAAGTCTAAATTCAAGATTCCAAGCACGAAACCCTAAGAAGCATATGGCTACGAACTCCGAAAACGGGCCGAACATCGGGATGTTCGGCAGGAGTCGCTGGAGTGCAGAATCGCTTTGGTTCAGCCTTCTTCACCCAGCTCTTCTTCAGCTTCTTCGGATTGCAGGCCAAAAGGATTCGGAAGATAGACTTTCAAATGAAAGAGCCTACAACACGTAGTGGACACAAACACTCACTCCTGGAGTCAGAGAGTCCAGGTATCTCACCCAGTCGTGAGTCTCAATGCTCACCCATCATGTTCACCCATCTCTTACGACTTGGACACCCGAACCGATGTCCACAGGCCTGCACTCTTTGGTACATTGATCGTGATCGGATGGACCGAGAACGAGCGTGCAGACTCTACAATGCCCGGCGTCTCATGGACCCGCACCTTCCGACCGGTGGACCGACCGTGGTGTGTGTGCCTTGGGGGGGAACGCTCCACCCATGTACCGTTGTTTTTCAGGAAGCACGACTTCTGTTTTGGCACCTCCGAGCAAGATCAACACAAACCTTGTGTTCGTTGCGTTTTTTTCTGCCCTGGCTCCTCGAGGAAACAGTCCCTCCTGCATGTTAAGGAATGTTATATAGCGAATAGAGTCGTGTAGTCTCCCTCGGTGTTCACGAACAAGTGCAAATTAACTGACTATCAGATACTATTAGGACAATCAGAACAACAAGAATATCAATCATAGAATCATGCTTGGCTAGAAATTGGCTTCCGAGGTCGTCTCATACTTCATCGCGAAAGCTTGCTCATACCTTTGGTGGTGCGACCTTGGCTTGAATCCAGTTGAATCCGCAGAAGGAGTTGGGACCCCCCCCAACACCGACCTTCGTTTTTGGGGTCCTCATGGCATACCAAGGTTTTTTGTTTTTCCTGCACGCTCGTGGATGTTTTCCCGTGAAAGGGCAGATTGTTGGAGTTGTCAGCAGGTACTGCCTCATTGTGCCAGCACTCTATGCAAGCTTGCCTCAATTGGGCGAGTCGATTTTTACGTGTTGCTTTTCTCATCTGAATCTGTGGAGCCAATTCTTCGGCACGATTCCAGGTGGGAATTGTGTATCCTCTCATCGGCTTCCAAGTCTTTCACTCAAATCCGCAAGCGAAAGATCCAGTGCCTTGAAATGCCAGTTTTTTACGATTTTGGCCCCAAGGCGAGTATATCCAAGTTCATGACATTCTACCTGTGCACAGCTGCCACAACTGCGGCTGCAAGTGCAGTTAGTTGCATCCTCAATCGCTACAGAATTGCTTGGCTTGATAGAGGTTCATAGTCCAAGATGTGAATGGACTTGATTTCAGGTCTCATTTGCCTCTCAATCAACAGCTCCTTTGCATCTGGCATATCATTGGCAGCTATCTTCCTGACAGTGACGGGCTGAGAATCATACTTAGCCTCTAGGCAATGGTGTAAGCACCTTCAGAGGCCTTGGTTCAGAGGGTTGTAGGCTTCGCCAGATGCAAACTCCTCATCCACATTTAAAAACAGAGAGTTCCAGCCCAGATGGAACTGACTCGTTGGAAACGAACGAATCCCAGGTGCTTCAAATGTATGCTGGCTTCTTGCAGCGGCGCGATGCCATTCCTCCTGCTTTGAGGCGAGTCGCATGTATTTCTGGGGCGAGTCAACTCGTTCTGCTTCGAAGAAGTTGTTGATTCAGTTCTCAGACCTGCTGAGTCCTCCGAATGAAAAGCTTTGTGGGATGTAGACATACTGTACATGTATAGGTTCCAATTATATTAGAGGTGAAATCATGTTGAATTTAGATTTCTCCAAGGATCCAGGGGATGATCCCTTGGTCTTCATCTCTTTTGTGGGGGTCTGGTTTGTTTGGTGTTCATCCTCTCTCGACGCCATGATCTCCGGAGGTGGCTGACTGATGTGTCGCCGTTTGCACATGCCTTCGCTGCCATGATCTCCAGTGAGTTCACTGGCTTGGAGACCACCATCGATGCGACAGGCCATACTACGACCGTAAAAAACGAACAGCGGGTCGGTCTGAGTGCATGTCCAGATATGTCCAGATTGAGATCTGGAGAAAGATGAGAAAGACCGCGAGAGATTTCACATGTACTGTATGAGGCTTGTTCAGTCACTGTGACGCGAGGCTTTGACGCGGTGACTGTGGATGGAAGTGTTGCATCCTCAGAGACCGGATGGAAGGAAAGAGGGGATCAGGTCACATCCGTCGAAGTTTCTGTCGCCCAGATTTGGCCAGAGCAGTTCAATGTTGACCCAAACAACTTGGAGCACAACGTGAAGATGGTGGGACTTGTTGCCTGCGGCGCATGGCTGGTAGCTCTAATTCCGCTCTGGCTCAGAGCGTGCCCCTTCAAGGTCAATAGATGTGGCTATTTGTGGAGAAATTGTGTGCCAGGTACAGAGTGAAGAAGACGGACTGCTTGCGATCCATCGTTCGCAGGAACCAGCGAAGCTGTTCTAGAGTTCCAAACTTAGACCAGATCTAGAACCAGTTGCGCAACTTCCGAACTCTCAGCTTCGTCTCCTCCTTTTTCTGAAGCAAAAAGCCAACCGAACACGGCTTTATCCGAACACGGCACCGAGTCCTTGGAAGCCCCATCCTGGGTCAGTGCAAGGATGAAGGCACGGGGTACGGCGGGCGCACTGAAGGGGACGCTTCTCGTTCGTTCGGAGCACTTCACACGGTGACCGCGTTGCAGGGCTCAGCTGCATTGGTGTGGAAGGCATGGGGTGTTTTCCTTTTCCTCCAAGTGGATGTGACCGGATCTCCTTCGGATGCGGATCTCCTTCAGGACATGCATGCAACTTTGCCCAATGGAGGGCAGCTCTATGACGGGTGCGCCGGCTGAAATACGCTGTGAGCGCCATCGCCATCGCGCATATGCTGTGATCCACGTTCATTTCTCCAGCCATCTCTTAAGTGCGGAGGCTTTCTGTGGTCCACTGGTTGTTGAGATCCACTGGTTGTTGTGGTCCACTGAGGGGTTTCACCCCCATGCTGTAGTCCACTCACTGTTTGCTTGTGTTGAAAACATGTGAACCCCCTGTGCCGTTCCTCAGGATGAATGGCATGGTGCGTGCCGGAAGGCGCCGTTGGTTGAAAAAACGGACGGGGCACCGCGTCACGGCACCATTCGCCCCATTCAGTCTGCAAATCATTCGCTTTTTGGTCTATTTTTATGGGACAGCGGTCTTGTTTGCTTATTGAGCTAGCGGATGCTAGCGGTCTCAGACCTCGGATAGCAAAGTGAAAATGTTTGCTTATATTATCATGGTCATCTGGAATCTCAGAAGCTATTTGTGTAAATATATATATATTTTTTTTTTTCTGTGTACTGTGTATGACTCTGGCAGGCCACTGGCAGTTCTCGGCCCATCTGGCTGTGGCAAAACCACTCTTTTGTCTTGCCTTGCTGGTGAGGCCGTAGAAGAACCACTGTAATATAAGATGCCTGATCAATGCAACGCAGGATCCAGTCCCATGCAATCTTCAAGTCAAGGAAACACAAAGAAAAAGGATGAAACAAGTGCCTAAAGATCTTTAGGTGTTTTACATGTGTAACACATGTGTCTCTTCATATCTTTCCACACTGTGCCAAGCAGGTGACGCGAACCAGGTGCAATGGGCGTGTCTACCTGAACAGGCGTGCGGGGTGCGCGGACGAACCTCCACACGCAAACCTGTCCTAACTCAGTATAGACATACGAAAATTATAGCATGGTGGCTTACATGTATCTCAGATCAATTTTTACTGCCAGGCAATGCATTGCCAGGAGTAAGTTGAGAAGAACAGCTTGGTGCTCGGATCATCAAGAGTTGGCGTTGCAGAGCAGTTGATCCGCTTGTATTTGCTTTTGGACATGTTCAGGTTGGGTACGTCCGTCAAGATGATGCCTTGCATCCAGAGCTTACAGTCTATGAGGCTGATTGACCAATGAGCTAATTTCTATTGCAAGAAGGAACTCTTGGCCGCACGCCTTGCACGCCACTCCCAGGCAATATCCTTTGTCCAGACCTCAGTCATGATAAAGCTTGTGCTTCAGCGTTGGAAGTTCACGCGGGGGTGTTTTGTTCTTTTTAATAATTAAGTAAGGGAGAAGTTCGCTCCTGGCTACTTAAGCTACTACATACTGGACGCAGGATAGCTCACGCTTGCACTAATGATTTGGTTCTTAGATTTTTAGGGAAGCTTAACTTCTGTTTTTGTGCAAGAAGAAGCCACTCTGAATTACCTTTTGTGGCGTCAGAGCTTTGTTTTATGCCTTTTGCACTCATTTAATCCAAGCTTGTGTGCCTGCCACGGGGCAAGCTTGCACATCATCACAGCCGTGAATTGCTGCTTCTCATACACTTTGCTGTGATACGAAGCTGCTACGACACGGCCCCCACAGCATAATTCAAAGGTTTCAGTTTTTTCAAGAAGCCAGAGGAAAGCAGTATCCCTGCTGAAGTTTGGCTTGACTGCAGGGTAATAGAACTTTCACGGGAGGGGTAGGCAGGCTTAGAGGATTGCCAGGAACAAAGCAAATTCAGATTCAGAGGAGTCTCTAATGTTGACTGTTGATTGAACAAAAAAATATGGAGATGTAAGACCATTCTGGTAGGGGGAGTTATTTAATCAACAGCTTGAATTGCCAGCAGGGTTGTTTCTGAACTCTCGCACCCTGCGAAAGAACGCCTCCAGTGGTTTCTCAGGCAGTGGCTTTAAGGATGCCCCATGCCAGCCGGACGGCGTGTCACGAGTCTGGGGACCCGGACTCGACGACGACTTCACCATGCTGGTTACGGTTGGGTGCATCAGCATGATTGCCACTTTCTATCCGTTTCTCATATCTGCGTTGGGCTCTGCCGCTCTGGCCATTTACCTCAAGAACGTTTGAACGTCTTATGTTTGAGGCGTGTGTGCTGGACGCTTAACCGACTTGGACTGGAGGCATGGGCTGCTACACTTTTCAGCAGCAACGCACTGATGGAAGTGGAGGTTCGTAACTTGCCCCATGGAAAACTGTGCTCCTCTGAAAAAGAAATGGGGCCTTTTCCAATTCCATGGAAATTCGGGTTGGCGGGGAGAGCGGCAGGCCGTGGCACACTCCAAAGTGGGCGGACACAAGTCCCGTGGCATTTCCGGGGGCGAGCGCCGGCGGACAGCAGTTGGTGTGCCTTGGAGAAACATCTGAGTCGTGAAGTCGTTCAGTGAGTTGGAAAAAGTGTGGTGAAAACCTCTTGAAAAACCAGGTATCCGAGACCTCGAAAAAGAGAAGCGTATGATTTCCTCTCAGCTGACAGGTAGAACTCTCAGTTGCTCGCGGTGTTCTGGCCCTGGACGAGCCCACTAGTGGCCGGCACTTCAGCTTTAGCGTCCATGGAAACAAAACGGTCGGAAACCGCCACCCTCAAAAAAGTCATGAAAGTTCTTGATGTTCCTTGTGCCTAGATGCCTTCTCAAACGATTTGAAAGTTTGAAAACGAGGCCTTGACAGCGACAGTGCACTGGCTTTGGGATGCCTCTTATCAGAGCTTGCTTCTGAAGGCACACTCCATTGATGTTCTCTCCCATGTTTGACGATCAGAGAAACAAATGAGGCTTGCACCAATTGAAATCTCATGACTACATATGAGTGTCTATTTAATAGGGAGACCGGGAGACCCCATCAGACCCCCAACCAATCGGTTTTGGTCTATTTCTCATCTTCCAGGGGTCTTTGGGATCTCCCTAGTTGAATACACACGCGTATGACTCATGGGGCTTGATTTGATGACCAGAACGATACAGGTTGTTGCTGAAGCCACAGCACAGCCTGTTGGTGATGGTCAGACAGTGCAGAAAACCTCTGAAATGAATGCTGTGAGATGTGAAGCCACCGCTCACATGCAATTTCAATTGAGGTACATGTTCCATCAGGTTCCCCTTTCTTGAGACATTGTAGAAGCGCCATGTGCTGCCATGTGCTGCCATGGCGCCTGACCTGTCGCGTTCGCTCACCGGTCGGACCGGTCGGACCGGTCGCCGGTCCACGGGGTCGGTGTGTCGGAGGGAATCGATCCGAAGAGTCCAATGCACTTATGGACTTGAGTTCCAATGGTTGGATTTCAGTCAGAAAAACACCAGGCACAAGTCTTCTTTGGACCAGGCACAAGTCATTCTAGCACTGTTCGAAAAGGCCTATAAGGATCGTGGAGAAAACATGGGTCAAACAGTGGCGAGCTTCGGCAGTCGACTCTCAAAAAGGTGGTGGAAGAAGGAAACATAATGAACAAGAAGGCAGTCGACTGTCCGTTCTGCTGCTGTGAAAGGAAAAGTGGGGTGTTGTGCACTGTCTCTGTGCTCAGTTATGTTGCAATGCAACATGACCGACAGTGATATGGCCGCTGACGCGGCACTGGGGGTGGCACAGGTCTCCGTCGTCTTGCTCAAGATGGGATTTCCAAGATTGAGACTGAGTCATGCCGCCAAATTTCAAAATGCTTCGGCCATGCAATCTAGGGACCCACAGGTTCGACTGGAGTTCCACGTGTGCTTTTACAGAGTTCCAGGTGGTCCGATGTCATCGTCATTGATTCATTGATTCATTGGATTCCTCCTTAAAGATTCTTGATCATCCTGAATCATTGTCATGTCTTCCGACATCTCAGTCGACCGTGCATCATCATTGGTCTTGCGGAGATAAGCCCAGAGTCATTGAGTCATTGCATCGGAGGATTCGTTCGCCAATTTCAGAGACACACGTACACGCGTACACTAGAAGTACAGTGCTTGTCCAGTCAGTCTACAGGTGTCGGGCGACAGAGCCACAAAGATGATTTTGTCTTGTGGCATTCTTAGCATCCCAACACATTCATAGGAACACGCAGCGTGCATGCAGTCTGGGACACATTCTTATTCATCCTGCTTTGTCCTCTTCGGAGAACTTCAGTGGCAAGTCCATCCACGTGATTGCATTGAGGGAGAGTAGAGGAATCTTGTACGCATGTGTATGCATAAGCGGCTGAATTCATGCTGCATGAGACCACGCTGCCCCGCCTGAACAAATACACTTTGGGTTGAAAGTTGAATGTTGGTTGAATATTGGTTGACTACAGTAGGTGTTTGGTTGCTTGCTTGAAGGTATAGATAGAATATTGGAAGACCTAAAAGACAATAGAAAACTGTCACATTTTCGGTTTGGTCATATAACAAATCTACTCCAGGACTCCAGGACGGTTCCAATTGTACGTACTCCGATTTCAAAGGACATAAAGAGCAGGTGCCAAGAATCCTTTCTTCGGCCGTTTTTGGTGCGAATGCGGCAGGTTGCATCCTGCTGGCTTCCATGCACCAGCCTTCACCAGAACTTCTGGTTGGCTTCTTAGTCTTGTCATCAGATTTACAGCCAAAGAACAAAACACAAAAGCCTAAAAAAACAGCACAGTCAGGGGTTGTAATTGCACAGTCAGGCCCCTTGCTTTCGTTTCTGCAGGCATACTTTTCGCACACTCTGGTGCTTGGATCCCACGGGAGAGTCTCCACCTTATGGGACGCAGCTCTCTTTTTGGGGCAGCTTGGATGCGCCTCGATGCTGGAATTGGAAGGGTTCTGGTCCAGGTCGCATTCCATGGGGAGACCAAGTCTTTGTCAGAATACATCACTCCTTTGCGTGGCGCCCTCAACTCCAAACGAGACACCCACGCCCTGAATCAAGACAGCTTAGCTCAAGCTCATTCAGGACATCTTCATCCTGAAGGGGGTCTTGGCAGTGCGTCGGACGGGATGCTATGTTTACTGTTGTTGGCCTTACCTTCCTTTTTTCGTACTTCTGTTGTCGTGAAGATGCTTCGTGAATCACTTATATAAAACAGTGCATTGCAGGACGTGTTGCTGGATATCATCTCCAGCATCTTGGTGGCACATCATGTCTCGAAAGCTGGGGGCAGCTTGCCGCATGCCTGTTCTTGCGCCCTTGAGCCTTCTCTTGTGGCTATTCCCACAAGCTTGTATTCACCAATGCAGTTTTTCCATATCACCTCGACCCTCACGTCGCATGTTAAACCGATTCCGCTGTGTCTTCAATTGCCAAGTGTCCAGCTTTCTTTGGATCTATTGTGATCTATACATGTTCCCAACTTTTCCACCCTCAGAAATGGGGGGGCTCCTCGACCTCCGATTACAATCTTTTACTACCACTCGCATCGGACGGTCAGCGTCGATGATTTGCTGGACACACTGGTCCAAACATATGTGACCCCTATACACATGCAGAGACTCCATCTACCACTCAGAGAGTGGGATCATCCACGTTTCGAGGCGCCGATCAGCCCCGATACCGAAAAGTGCCGCCAGCAAAAGCAGGCCTTCAGTTGAAATGAAGGGTATGGCTCCCTCTATACAGCCCTGCGGCATGATGCGCCCACACGCACGTGGTCGCGTGAGATTAAAGCTTCCGGGAAAGGGATGAGCTGTTGGGTCCTTATGGAGCATCAGCAAAGCGATTACAATCTTTTACAGTCATCATTAGTCACCCCCGTCATCTGAGCTTAAACTGATTTCCCGTTTCGCCTTACCTTCCTCGAATCTCGCATCACCTGGAGCTCAAGACAAACCACCAAGAACATAAAGACTGCATGGAGGGCGAGGTACTGTTTGTCGTACGTTTTGTTGAAGCCCTATCTCACTCAAGACCGCTAGCATTGTTTTTGGTATGTGTGACAAGACATGTCGCCAGCATTCCCACTTGCTTTCATGACACATGCACGACTCTAGCTTTTGGGCTTTTGTATGGCCGATGCGTGCGGTTCTTTCTTCACCTGTGGCGGGAACCACACTACGGCCTTCCTGAAATGATCTCTCGTCAAAGTGACCCTGAAATTCAGAAGTTGTGTTCTGTCACCCATCATCATAAACACATATGTTTAGAGTCGGATTCGCACTATATGTGCATCCATAAGGATCCATAGGACAAGGTATTCTGGAGTACCGAGGCGATAATGCCTATGCGGCTTTCACCGCGCATGAGAAGCCAACTTCTCAGCGGATCAAATGCTCCATCCCGGCTGCCTGTGCTTTCAGCTACCAATGATTGATTCATGCTGTGCTTTGCAAATGACCTTGGGCCATTCAAGGGCAGAACACAAGAAGATCATGGAATTCGAGATTCAGTCTGCCAGAGTGCCCAGAGCAAACGAGACCGGCCTTGCATCAGCATTCCTATATAACAGCCCCTGAGTTAAACTAGGCCACGATTGTTTGATTTGGCTCTACCTTTGCGCCACATGCTCTTGAGAAGACTGGTCGAATGGTATCAAGCGGTGTGTTCGTCTCGGTGACCAGTGACTCCATGAGAATCAATGGAGACGCCAGCTGAGGCGTTTAATGCTGCCTCTGAAGAAGAACAGGAGGCAGCTCTCGAACTTCTTGATCTCCCAGATGTGAATGAATTTGATCTGAATTTGATCTTATTTTGGCCTGCTTTGCTCCAAGACATGCTAAATGAAAATGGCCACAAAGGCAACATTTGGCTTGAGCGACACGTACACAGGTGAAGGCGGCAACAATTCCGCCGCTGAGGGTACAGCTGCATCTTGGACTCATGTCGTTCAGTGCTCTCGTGGCACGGAAGCTCGAAGACGTTTTCTCGGCCTTTTGTTGTTTCCTGCGGCACACACATGATACAAGAACTAGAAGCTACTTATGCACAGAGCATGTGTGCAAGTCCTGTGTTAGTCTTGTGGTTATATTTTTTGTAATGTGCCACCCACTCGTTTGAAAAGAGCAAATTATGCAATCAATAGAGTCAAATTGTTTGATGCTTCGAGGTTCCAGCTCCTCCTTAGAGAGATGCGAATTCAGAGGACATCATAGTTGCGATTGCCTCCAACCTACTAGCGATGGCCTCCAACCTAAAAGTGAAGGCCTCCAACCTAGTTGGAAGATGTTGGAAGACTGTCCATGTCTATCCATTTCTTCCTTTCGAACTTGTCACTTGTCGGAATCTATGGGCAGGAACCTTGCAACCTACACTTTCTTCGAGGCAAAGCTTTCCACATGCACCTTTTGCAATGAAATCAGGGCATGGCCATGAAAACCCGCATGCGCGTGTCTTCGGCCTTCGGTTTCTGAATCAAAACGTCCTTCGACTCGTTTGAGTCGAGTCTTGTCCTCACTGAGGCGACCATTGCAGGTTTGCTTCTGGGAGCCACCTACTACCAGATGTCTCTTCGACTGGCCGGGGTGATAAGGCCACGCTCTTTCATGAACAAAACAGTCCCGGGCACGGTTCGTTTCATCGGCGTCAAAAAAAAAATCATATTATGAATTCCATGATCATTCATTTAGTGCGCCTTTGGGTTGGGTGCATTGCATGGGCCATGAAATCAATCGTGGGATTTCACGTGACGGCCATTGCTTCCCTTTTTCCCAGTCGCCTTGGCCTGGTCTTTGCAGTGCACTGCACGCTCGGGATGCAGGCCATACAGATGAATCGAGACACTGAATGTTGCTGAATCGAGGTTTTTGGAGCTTTTGAGGTGTTGAATCAACAGAACTTGCATGGGTTCGACTGGGCATATACCTCACTAGCATGTTTTGGTTGTCCCTTCACTCAAGTGCCTTGTTTTTGCGGTTTGTGGGTGCTCCAAAACCAAAACTCTGGTTGAAACTTCAGTGTGCGCTTCTTGAAGAATGAAACTGACATCCTGTAGGACCGAATTCCAAAATATCTCCCAATCTCCAGAGATATAGATATATATAGGTATAGAGATCAACTCCTGCAAACTGTAGAATTGTTCGTTTTCTCCTTGCATTTCGGATCATATTGATCCTTGCATATTGATCGATATAGGATCAATTGTTTAATAGGGAACACCCTCCCATTGATCCGAACGCCAGGCTTTGCAAGGTCTTTTGGCCTGGCGCGAAGGCTACACCAGCTTTCGACGAGAGCGGGCCGCAGGAGCGAACGTAGCTACACCGGCAACTCCAAATAGGTTCCTGGTTTTGTTTGGGAAAGCCTCGATTTGTATACCAGGATACTACTACACGGGCTCCTTTGTGGTTGCTAAGGCTCGGGATGCACGCTTGCGCAAGCCATTTCTTGAAATCACTTTTACCTTGCCATCAGCGCCATCAGCTTTTAAGCCTGGTGCGCCACAGGTGGTCGTAGATGCACTTCTCTTGCGAGTCGGCGACCGAGTAACTCGCGACCGCTCCAGCGGCGTCTACATGATCCATGCCTCAAAGCCACGTGAGTGCCCACGTAGGGTACACATCATGTCCGGACATGTGCCCCGATTGGCAACATTTAGTTCACTCAGCACTTATGGCATTTGGATGCACTGATGGACTTGGCTCACTGCACCTAAATACATGAAATTGGCTGACTCACCAGAGAGCCAGTGTAACGCTGAGGAGATCTGAGGAGACTTAAAACTCAAAAATGATCCTGTCACGGCTGATCACGCCGACTAGAAGTGAAGAAGTGAACCACCACAGATTGCGGCTGATCAAGACAAATCAAAGCAGATCGCATCGAATCCGAACAGAGATCACAGATCGAAGCACGTGCGTGCATACACACGCGCACACACTTATGGATACACTTATGGATATGCGTACTGACTTGACAGCGGTGCCACACGCCAGCCTAGGTTACATTTCCTAAGAGTACAGGTAAAACCTAATGGAGGCTGGGGGTCTTCAAACAGAAGTGAGGCCCAAAGCGCAAGCACCAAATCGACGAGTTCGGATCGACAAAATGACGGCGGTCCGTGCACATCTGCAGAATTAAAAGGAATAAATGGCCACCAGCTGCGTCTTACAATGCGCCCAGGTGCACCAAGCAGGTACGTTTTCACGACAGCTTGGATGGGTCTTCGTTGGCCCATGCCATCCAAGTGTCCATGGGCCCCCTGCTTAAAACAAAACAAAGCAATTCAAATGAATCCCTGTGACTACAAGGGGCACACACACACACACACGCCTCCCCGAGGGGAGGCGTGTGGCTGAGGTGAGGGCCAATGTGCACGTGTGCGCGCACAAGAGACAAAAGAATGAAGACATGACAAGAGGACGAGACGGGACAAAGATGTGTGTGGTTGAAATGAAAGGGGAACCAAGTGCACAGGGACACCCGATGAAGCCCACCTCATTGTAAAGACCTGGGCGACCTGAAACCTGTGTTTAAAGGTATGTAGAAGTGCACGTACACACTAAGGCCGGGACCAATGTGCGCGCAAACGAAGAAAAGGATGAGATGACCAGACATGAACACAGGAGGACATGAAAGAAAAGAGGAAACAAAAGGTGTGTGAAAGGGGAAAGGATGAAAAGGGGAACCAAATGGAGGAGACGAGAACCGATGAAGCCGAACCTCATTAGAAACACCTAGGAAGACCTCGCCTCGTTTGCATGTATACGCTGTGTGTGCACCTAAGAATGGGACAGGTTCCAACGAACCTCAAAAGTACTTTGACCGCTGTGGTCACCTTGTGCCCTGCCAAAGTGGCTGGCTGCTTTGACCGCTGCGGTCACGTAAAGGCATGAGCCAACTTGGAATTCAATAATTCGTCAAGTCTTGGCAAATAACTTTGGCATAAGCCTCCTACGCCCGCTCTGGGCACGTACATCTCCGAGCAGGGGAGATAAAGACAGACGCCCGTTCGACGGGTCCACGGGAGGCACTCTACGGGCTCATCCCGGACTCTCACTGGGAGAGACATACTTATGGATATGCGTACTGACTTGACAGCGGTGCCACACGCCAGCCTAGGTTACCATTTCCTAAGAGTACAGGTAAAGCCTAATGGAGGCTGGGGGTCTTCAAACAGAAGTGAGGCCCAAAGCGCAAGCACCAAATCGACGAGTTCGGATCGACAAAATGACGGCGGTCCGTGCACATCTGCACAATTAAAAGGAATAAATGGCCACCAGCTGCGTCTTACAATGCGCCCAGGTGCACCAAGCAGGTACGTTTTCACGACAGCTTGGATGGGTCTTCGTTGGCCCATGCCATCCAAGTGTCCATGGGCCCTCTGCTTAAAACAAAACAAAACAATTCAAAAGAATCCCTGTGACTACAAGGGGCGCACACACAGTTCGGAGATGTATGAAATCCGAGAGATCGGACGATTTTCACTGCAGCATTTCGGTGTGCCGTGTGACGTGCTGCGTTTGGACGTTTTCACTCCAAATGACGTGAGCTCCCTGAAGCTCCCTGCGTGCTCCTCGCGCAGAATCTGCACATCACTTGGTCGACTTCTGCAGCTCAGGTCGGTCCACCTGCTTTGATGTGCCAGCTTCTTAATATTCCTCTTCATTTGGGGTTGGCATGTGTTGGGTATTCGGCTACATGAGGCTTCATTGTCTACATGCTAGCTGGCTTGCAGCCTGGGCGAGAGGCGCAACATGGCCCTACCAGTGAGGGGTCTCCTTGAGCTGGAAAGAATCCAGACACGACATAGCCTTCTCATCGCCTTCTTTGGGCACCCGGAGCGTGGTGTTGTGGAGAAACAACCCGGGTCAGGCTGTGTGCTGCCTTGGCTTTTGCCTTGCCTCACTTGTTCGAGCCCCACTTGTATGAATTTTTGCTTGCGCGTTTTTAGACCCTTTGATGTGTGTTTTGCTAGTGACAGTGCTGTCAGGTTGGCTCCACTTTCTGCCTTGACCTTGGAGTTATTTGGAGTTCAACATCAAAGAGTTTAACAACATGTTCTTGCAACTGAAGAAGGTTGAAAGCAGTTCGATAGATGGTCCTGAAGTCTTGCTTCCGCAGTTGACATCTGCTTGAACTCGGACTACTCTTCATGACGTTTGTTTGAACGGTCGCTGGCGTCTGGCCTTCTGAGGTTTGGCCTTGGGAGCTACAGCTCCTAGATCCGGCGCTGTCGAGCTGGCGGAATGAGATATTGAGTGTGGTCAACCACAGAAAATCAGTATAATTTGACTCATTTAGTTTAAGGCTTATCTGAAATGAGTCTTAACTAAAATGGTTGGCAGTGACAGATTTGCAAGCTTGTCAAATTAGCCAGTTGTTTTAGATAACATTGTGAGAAAGTTGTTGTTTTATTTTTCACTTTTCAGATTAAATGACTTGTGTAGACCTTTGGTACTGTCATGTTATTTAACCAATTTCTGGATAAAATCAGGGGTGAACTTCTATAGATGGTAGCAACGGGGACTATTTTATGTCGCCAGCTCACTGGTGCCAGGTCCTACCATTGGCTGTGCTGTTGATACTCCTTTTCCTCTTGGTGCGAGCCTGGGAAGCTTCTGAAAACAAAGATCCTTGTTTTCGATATGTTCATCCACTTAAGCTACCCTTGAGCATTTGCCGTGTTATACAATGTTGAAATTAGCAGTTAACGCACTGTTGACCAAGATTGGCGGGCCACTTCTTGCAACGCAGCAAGGGGTCAGCTCTCTCAGCCTTTGCCCTGTGCGTGAAGAAGGTTGCACCCATTCAGCATGCTCAGGCGCTCCGGAACTTCTCCATCTTTCGAGCGTCCTTCAACATGCTCTCAGCAAATGAGATGCGCGGCCTTGTCTTTGAGCCTTTCCCTCAAAGACTTTGTTGAGCGCTCCAGCTGTTTGTAGAGCTTCACAATCCTTGGCAGCTCATGATGGAGACATGCGTTGAGAACACAACTCATCTCTTGACGAGCACGACTGGTTTCATTGCAGTTTGTGCCCAGGTTTGATCCAGAAGGAGTTGTCACAACCCTCGGGAGCCGCACTGGCGAGGACATGCCATGGTTGGCGCATGGTTGCAAGAACTTCGGCCCGTTGTTGCAAGTACCCCACTTCGGCAGAACAACGGCAGGATTGGATGATGGACCTGGGAATCCAAGACAATCCCGTGCATGAAGAGATAGGTTCCTGGCTGATGAATGAAGCATTTAGACTACACATGCGCTGTGAAGTCTAGACATTTTCTGGTGCGTCCTCATTTGGACTGCAGGCTGGCTTCTTGGTTGGTCTTCTTTCTATGTCTTGTTTGCATGGCTTGTGCTAGTTCTGCAATCAGAATCAGTGTGCAACTTAGACTTGCGGACTTGTCAACCAAACTGAAGAAATGTCATTTCAGTCTAAATTCTAAGTAATCCGCAAGAATTATTGAGTCAGTGTCGTCCATGTCACATGGATGGTTTGACCGTCGACCATCCCAAGGCTATTTGGCCAAGCTTTACCCTTCGAGGATGCTGTGCAACTGGACGTAAACTTCAGTCGCAGATACACAAACAGATGTAAATAAAAGCTAGTAAAAGCAAATGGGCAGTCGGTCAACAAACATTAAACAATGGGATCGATTTCTTGATGGCTGAACAGTCCAGTGTTTCGCCATGATTTCCCGGATCAAGGCTAATGCAGTTGCTTCGGAAGATCATGCATCGAAGCATGAGATAGGACTGCTTTTGGCTTGCTAATGTCTCTGGACGACGGTTTTTTCCATTTTGGAATCTGAGCTCAGAAGAAGCCCTGCTCAGATGATTTCAAGCCTTTTGTTCTTCAAGCGATCCTTTTGCACTCTGTATGGTTTGTGAGGAAGACGCAGAAGCACAGCCAGTGAATGAGCTGTACAGAATAGTCAGTGAATACTAACTCCTGATGCATTTTTCGAAAAAAATCCATCAGATTCAATCTGTCGACCATCGACAGGTCTTTCTTTCTCTACACCCTTGGGGGTGTCGTGCCTCAGGCAAACCTGCATATCTTCACACTTCGAAGACTTCCACTAGTGCAAAGCTGTGCATCCAATCTTTTCTTCTTGGACAATAGCTCGGCCTGGGTCATTGAAGTGGTCCGAGTTGCCAAGACAGGAATTGGCAACTCCTAGAGCTTGGTCGTTGACATCGACATCAAGTTGGTCATCAAATTTTTCTGGCCTTGCTGGAACATCTTCAAAAAGATGGCTCAGCCGCCAACATCAAAGATGTCATGGTGGGCCTTACATGGCCGGATCTGATAGCAGACCACTCGGATGAAACAATGCGCGAATCTGGTGTTGCTGCTGGAAGACTCCTGAACTTTGCACCTTTCTTTGTGAAGTTGCCGAGATATTGGTGTTGATCAGGGTCTGTGGCGCGTGTTTTACATGTTTCGTGCAATCAAAGTTGGATCGAACATTGAGCTGTGAAGGAGGGCGGACGACATGATTTGCGCTGTGTTATGCGTCATTCTCGGTCCACAGCACGAGAATGAAGTTGGTCGTTTTTATGAATCTATAGAAACCGTATATTCCTGCAAGTGATGTGTTCATTCCAAAGAGGCTCGTGCCTCGGGGGGGGTAGAAATCAAAGTCAAAGCTCCGTGCTCACCATGGCAATGCTGATTGAACAAGCTGAGGGTGGCGTCACATGCAAATGCCATCTCAGCACTATGTGGTGCGTGCCTGGTATGGCAGAACCAAAGACCGGTGGCAAGAGGGAAATGGGAATGTAAGGCCGTTCTAGGACTTGTCAATTCCCACGCAGCTCGTCAAGAGGATCGCAAAAATGGACTCGGGCGAATTTAGGGTAATGTTTATCATGCTTTGCGCAAACTCTTCGGACGGCGAAGTCGACTTCTAGTTTTCTTTTGGAGGGCGTGTGTTCTTGCTCTTTCAGATCAGCCACGCCTTTGCACTCGGCGCTGCTAGATACCTGAGTTGTGAGAGTGAAATCAATAGACAAGTCAGTCAACTTCTGAGTGGCGATCCAGAGATATTATTCCCCCGGAATTGGATTCGCAATTCGGCCTTCGCAAGTCAATTTTGGGATTCCGCTTCTTTAGGGGCATGTGGGGGCTCTCTTGCTTTTCTGTATTCTTTTTTTTCTCTCCCTCTCTCTCTCTATGTGAATGTGGCCTTTTGCCGACCCTGCGCAGCTGGACGCGCGTTGTTTAGTTCTTTTCTCTTCTGCCTTTTGACAACAACCTTTCCATCGCTCATGCAGCTTGGTGATCGGGTTCTTCTTCCTCCCGGCACCTCGCACTTGGACTGTCTGTACAGGAAATGTCTGTTTGATAGATCTTGTGGTCAACTTTGTGGTTGTTTGTGATGGGACGCAACGCTATTCTTCACAGGATCGATATTCGTGGCACTGATCAGTGCGCCCTGGTATTACAACGCGATGGACTTCAGTTTTCCATTGCAGTTGGCGGCCTGAAGTCTATTGTTCCTGGCGGTGCTGAGTTTTCAGCTCTTAGCACACCCACGGAGATGCTGAACACCAGAATTATCAGAGCAACTTAAGACACCGCCTTACACTTTAGTTCGTTGCCAAAGCGACTTGACCTAGATTGACCCACCTTCCACAATGATGTGCAAGCAGACAAAACATATCAACATATATCAACACACATGAATAACTTTTTCACTTCAAGCAATTCGCAAACGTTTGCACTACTTAACATACAAACGTTGGCAGCGCAGACACGCAGCTAGAAAAAAAAATCGCCGTCACCAGCTGCCACACATCCTCTCTTCTTGGTGATTTTTGAGGTCTCAGCGAAATGCTCGAGGAAACTGAGGATCGGCTCCTTGTAATTGTTTGACGATATCTTTGTGATGCGTGTGGAACATACACTCAGTGAGACGAACATCAAGCGTGTTAGCTGGCATTAAGATGGCTAAGAAGTTTTAATTGTTCCACACGATCCGTCAGGATCTACGCTACTGTTTTGTTGAGACTGATTCTACATGATTGTACTAAATACTTAATCCCCAGCACCACCTGCAGTGTTGGTCATGGTCAACTAGCTTGGGATTCCAATGGCCGTCACACATTGCTGAAGAAACTGGAAAGCCAATCGCTGTCCGATCGCTGAACGGAGAGGGACCGACATCAAACAGCTGAACGAGTGTTCGCCGATGAGCGGCAGAGCGTCGGCGTAAGATATTTCGTTTGGGCTCCCCATAAGGCCGCGAAGCCAACCTTGCTCAAGGTGAAGAAGACAATTGAAGAAATACGGGTGAAGCACTTGATGTGCAAACAATGAACTTTCACACCCCAAATCCGAACTCAGAGCTCCCATGTTCCGCACGCATCAAAAGCCTCTCATTCGCGTCAAAAGCCTCTCATTCGGGGCCGATGGGTTTTCCTTGGCAGTCAGCTCTGGCAGCCGTGTTTGGCATTGGTGTGGGTGTACTTTTGGAAAGGCTCAAAAACCGAAGTGGTGCGAAGAAGGCAGTTGAGTCATCTAGCGACGTTGTAAAGTCAGGTAGTTTTGTGTTTGTTGGACGGGAGCAGCTGGAAAAGACCGTGGCTTCGTGCTTGAAAGCGGCTGGAGCTCCACCAGACAAAGCACAGCTGGTGGCCCAAGTCCTTGTGGCGGCGGACGCTCGAGGGATACCATCACATGGTGTGAACCGTGCAGAAATGTATTGTGGCGAACTCAAGGCGAAGTTGATCGATCCTGGCGCTGATCCCAAGATTTCATCCGATTCAGCGAGTGCTGCCAATGTCGATGGATGTAATGGACTTGGTGCAGTAGTTGCTTCATATGCAATGAAGTTGTGTATCCAAAAGGCAAAGTCCACTGGTATTGGCTTAGTTGTGTGCCACAACAGCAACCATTTTGGCATTGCAGGATTCTGGTCAGAACTGGCATTGAAGGAGAAACTGATTGGTTTTGCCTTTACGAACACCAGCCCATTTCTGGTTCCAACGCGGGCTTGCCAGCGTGCTGGAGGAACAAACCCCATAGCATGCTACTGCCCAGCAGAAGGAGATAGTTTTCAACTTGACATGGCCACAACCACCGTGCCCATTGGAAAGATTGAGGTTTGTCATCGAAAGGGGCAGCAGATTCCAAATGGATGGGGAGTGGATAGCACTGGAGTGTGCAGCACTACAAACCCTGAGAAGATTCTGAAGGGGGGCGGGCTGACTCCTTTGGGAGGTCTAGAAGAAACTGCGGGCTACAAAGGCTATGGTTTGAACATGATGGTGGAAATCTTGTGTGCCATCCTAAGTGGTTGCCAGAAGGTGGGTCCTGCAGTGCCTCCCTGGAGGGTGGATAGAGGCACTGCTGTTGACTATGGACACTGTTTCATTTGTATTGATCCTGCAAAGTTGTTGCCATCAGGAGACTTTGAAAAAGCTTTAAGTGGCTATTTGTCAACCATGCGACAGCTTCCTGCCGGAGATGTGGAACGTTCAGTGCTTGTTCCTGGAGACCCTGAACGTGCAGAGGAAGACGATGCTGCAAAGCAGGGTGTTCGGTTGAACCGGCAGATCGCCTTGGGTTTGCGAAGTTTGGCACAAAGCCTGGGCTGTTCTGGATCGCTTCCTGCCGAAATCCAGGCCCTTCCAGAAGATGCTTCTGCACCAAAGCATCCGCATGCAGTTTGAAAAAGCGACACTTCAAGACCATCCTTTCAAATACTTTGAAATTGGACTTTGAAGTGCTACATGTTTCTCAGTGAACATAGATCTCTGTTGCATTGCTCAAGAAATCACGTTTTGGTAGTGTACTAGAGTGATGACGATATTTGGCTAAAAAAATGAAAACATATAGCTTCTCCTGCATGTTTTTGGCATGCCAAAGACATTTTCCTACGTCTGAGCAGCAAAGAGGTGCGACCGTTGGAATTTCGTAGTGCGGTCGCCTGGAGGACTGGAGACCACAGATACTCCAAGATGATCAAAGGAACATGTCATGTACAGTCCAATATAGCACACCTACAAGTCAGGCACAAGCACGTCAGGCAGGTTTTTCAGGGCCCGCAAGAATGCCATGCGACACCTTCTTCCGGCTGTGGCATGTCCTTCTTGGTCTATATCTTTTGGAGGCTGAAGGCCATTTTGCCAATGAGTTGGAGGCAGGCTTGCGATTGGAGGACTGGGCACAGTTTTCCAAAAGACGGGTGTGTTCTATGCACAAAAGCTGGCACATTAAACACCTTGAACTCAAGGAAAGAAGGTCCAACTTGGCAACTCACGGACAATACAGGCCAGCACTATCAAACATTCAGGTGTCATCAGCTGCCTATGTTCTTTAGTGAGGAGGATAGTTGCTCCAACTCGGCATGCTGGCTGCAGCGCAGAGCCAAACGCCAGAGCGAGTTCTTGGGTGGCACGGGCAGTCTGGGGGTTGTTTGCTCCATTTTTGTTGCCTTGTGATCCTTAGCGTCCTAATCCAAAGACAAAGTCAGGGGGAGGCCTTGGCGCATGGAAAACTGTCCAAGAGATGCCAAGTGAGCTGAGGAATAGCAGAGAGGAGCACGCCATCGAAACAAATAGCTCCAACATCGCAAAGGTGAATACTAACGCCAGTAGTGAATTCTATTGCGATTCTCATACTGGTGGAAGTTGCAGATTCTGGTCCTGTTCATCTACCCGTGGGCCAACCATGTGCAAGTCTTCACAGTGCCGCTGCAAACCGGGATTTTGCGCGGTGAATGGTATTTGCATGGAGCGCACAGCTCATGTCACCGACACCTGCAACCGGCGCACTGGGGGCAGCTGCCGCTTTTTGGGCTGCTCCTCATGGCGAGGAGCTGTTGACTGCATCGATGGGGCATGTGTGTGCCAAGCAGGCTATTGTAGTGCTGATGATGGCAGTTGCCACAAGCCCAAGCCTCGGATCAAAGCCAAGGTGGTCCCTGTGAATTTGCAGTCCCAGGTGTTCCCTGCCGCGCAGGTGGGGGCCTTCGTTGTACCAGCCAAACGGGCAGTGACCGGTGAACGGGTCTGACTGGGTCTGACTGGGCCCACAGTGGGGCACCAAAAAAGAACACATTTGCAAAGCCATCCGAAACTTGGTTTTACGATGTTTTACTCATGCCGTCCTGTTTGGTATGATCTCAATCTTCTCAATCTCAGTTCTGAAGAAGTCCACCGGGATGTCGAAGTTTCGTGTTTTTTCTCGGAGGAGGGGGCTGCGACCGATCAAATCTCCTGAGCGTCAGCGTCAGGTGAACCTTCGTACGGGAGTGTGCTTCAGCGGGGGTGGCTCTCGCGCTTTGACGGTCACGATGGGTGTTTTGAGGGCCTTGGAAAGCTTGAAGCTCATTCCACACATTGACGCGATCTCGAGCGTGTCTGGTGGAACTTGGGCCTCGTCCATCTACATGTTCGCCAAAGATGTCAGTATCAAGGACGCAACGCTTCAAACTGCATTCGGGTGCAGAGATTCTGATGCTTAATACTAATAATTTACTAATATTGTTTAATCAACATTTGGGACGACAATGGCAGTCTCCGTTGTGTTCAGTTGGATTGTGCCAGGATTTACTTGGCGAAGATACAACTCCGAATGAATTGACCATGGAGAAGTTGTTTCGAAAGCCTGCAAGACTTGGCGCCAGAAACTCAGCGATTCCTTAACGCATTCCGCGACACACTCCCCCGTGCTTGCCTTTGCGTGTTTGGTGTCTTCCAGGATGTTGCGACCACCAGCATCACATCACTTTTGTTGAGCAAGGCATCTTGGCAAATCTTGGCAGAGTTGCACAGTTCAGGCTAAGTATTTAGATGTTTTATGTGTTCTTTTGCTTTATTTCGCATGTTGAATGCAGGTTGTATGTGCTTCGCAGCGTTAGAAAAACCTGCGATTCACACTCGTCTCCCGCGTCTTTGGGTCCGTTTCGCCGTCATGACGTTCCGTGTCTGAAACTTCCAACCGGGCCACTGGCGACGGAACGTGAAAACCGTCCTTCCAGGTCATGACGTTGAATGGAGGAAGCAATCCGCATGACCTGTGGATCGAAAGCTATGCGAAAACCGTCTTGGAGCCCTTCGGATTGGCCAACAGGAGCCGAAGAGATGAGAGATGAAACGAGAACCCAAACGAGAGTCACCTTTGGGCATCATGAGACATCCCCAAAAAAACCGAAAAAGAAGAAGACATACCCCTTTCATCCTGTTGCCGTTCCATGAAATTCCCCACACCTTCAATGAAGAGGTTGGCTAACCAACATTCTCAGTCAGATTGAGTGTATTCATGCCAAGACATGTTTCTACTCATTATGTTCGTCTTTGAGTGGCCTGCTTGGTGCTCCGTTTTGGCCGTTGTTTCGTCTGGACGGCTTTTCGCTTCATGCCGGCGCCGGCCTTTCCGCGGCGCGGGGCCCGCCGTCGCGTCGCGGGAAGGAGTCAATTCATGGCAGCGAATGAAGAAAGTCTTCGAAGCATTCTGCAACGAAATCCAAGCCTTCAGCGAGAACAATTTCAAGTTGAGAGCTTGGACGTGGAGGATAAAACAAACATAAAACACATCGTCTATGCATTCTTTATCCATATTATTTAGCATGTTATCATTTGTTGTATAAACCGAGTGCGTCCCCAAAGGTTCCGAACCCTTTGCGTCCTAAGACGTGGTGGCCTCGGACGTCTTCCATGTGGGTTTGAAGATGGAGAACTGCAGCTCTACCTTGCTCAATTCATCTCACGACTCCATTCCTTGGCAACTGTATTTGTCAAGATCCGAATTTAGAGTATTGTGTGTGCCAGACTTGCAAGGAAAGGTTCCTCTAATACTGAGGTTCATCATGGGTGGTACTTTGCTGGCCCCAGTCGGCCTGGTTGCAACTGAAACCAGCGCTGTGTTACTCGATTGCACCATTGCTCTGACACTTTGCACCGCTAAAAGATGCCTCGATAAGTCACTGAGGTCACTGCAAATGTCGCCAGACTTCACGGGCTCGCCATTCTATCCGAAGGAATCCAAGTTGCTATCATGGTCTCAAGGGTTTGCAACTTCATCCCGAACATGATGTTCTTCCATACTCCGAAGTTCGACGTGTCGTCGAGCAAGTTCGCAGGATAGCCTTGTGCATTACAAGGGGGGCCAGTCTGACAGAGAATTTCTGGTTGGCGGCGGCTTTGTTGACCTTCTCTTAGTTCATGCGGTTTGGTTCAACAAGTCATAACGACATGAATGGCAGTCAAAATGTTCATCTCACAAATATCTCAATCCTGTCAAAAGTCGTTTTAAAGATCATGCAGCAGTTCTTTCTGAGGAAAGCTTTGCCTTCGGCGGTTCATCGCCTTTGTCGGTCTGCTACTCACTTTGTTGAATGCGTGAAAGCAACCAAGTTGGATCAGGTTATATCAGATCACATCAATCCTGAGTGATCATTTCCATCTATTTGTCAGTTGACATCATATCATCCAATCAGTGGCAAGATCATGTCATTTCGCGAATTTCACGAGCATCAGTCTGCGAGCTTCCTTTGGCTTCAGTCCTTTCTACGAGGCCCAGGGGCAAATGGGAGGAGATGCAGTTGAGATGGAGGCCGCGGAACGTGGCAAGCGGTCGACATGTGTTCGTTTTCATCAGGCTGTCCTGGATGGTTCGATTGGCAGAAGGATGGTTCGATTGGCAGAAGGGATCCTGCAACATGGCGAAAGGGCCATGTTGGAAAAGGCTGATGATCTGAATAGAGCACAAATCAACAGTACTGAGTCCTTTTGGGCAAGGAGCCTGGTTGCTCAAGTACCAAGCATCCAAGCAAACCTCACAAGGAAGAAGAAGCAGCAGATTGCCAGGACAAAACTAGAGTTCCTGACAGCAGAACGGCCGTTGGGAGACAGATTCTAGAGCTGGTACATGGAATCAATCCTGCTGGAACCTTCCTGCACATGTTCCAGAACATTTCTCGAGCTTCTCTTCTTGAAATCTTTCTCAAGCCTGCTGGAAGCTGGCTTCCACACCCTCATGAAACCTTGCTGACAGCTGGAACCGGTTTGGTTTCTTTGCTGGCTTTGTTTGCTCTGCCGACCGCTGGTGTGTGTTTTCCGTTTTTACTTTTTTGGGCATTTTTGGGGCCTGCCGCTTTTCCCGCCATGCTGGGAGAGAGTTTTTTGTACATCTTCTTGACGAAGCAAGGCTTTGTGCTCAGCCTTGATGGAACGTGTTTGGCCTCCTCAAAGCTCGAATCCGCCCGCTGCCACCGTGCCTTTGCAAATTTTGGATTTTAGTTTGGCCCAGAATCCTGGTAGCTCAGCTCCAGCTTTGGTTCCGATGAGAACTTTATTTCTGGAGTGTTATTAAGTTTCTTGGAAAAGAATAAGAAAAGATGCGCTGTGGTGCACGCATGCCAGCCACTGGCAAGATACATGCGCGTGTGAGAGTTGTGAAAAGAGCGTAAAGAGCGTTTCAAGAGAAGAGATAAGAAAGACAAAAGCTGCGGCGTTCAGTAAGCCCAAAAGCACAATTTAAGGCATTCAGCTGGGAGAAGAATTGCACTGTACATGGGTGTGTAGCTTGAAAGGGAGACTCCAACCAATGGGGTTTGGTCCATTTTCCTTCTTCAAGGGGGTCGAAGGAGGTCTTCCTACTTTAATACACGCCCACAGTGCGGGCCCTTCGACTTGTCAGCAACAAAAAGAATTGAAGAACTCCTTGCGTAGTGGGTCATGGTAGATCGATTGCTTCTCACATCCTTCAGAAAACAAAGGCTTGGAAGGACAAACATGTTGAAGGTCAATGGTCGAAGGATCTGATGGGGGTCCTGTTTCCAACCGCCTTGGGGTCCGTACACTTAACACAGAACACGCAATAATCTTCTGACCCGAACGCGGAAAAGTCGGAAAGAGGACACTGCAGGATTGAAATGCACATAATGATCCATGATGCATGTGATATTCATTCATGTTCCATGTTTGTCCCGACTTTCAATGAGCAATTCGCGCATTTGTCCGAGCTTTGGTCGATTTGCTTGGTCGAGGCGCCTCCAACATCCTTCAGCCTTGCCGATGCGATTGGCATCAGCAGCGCTGCATTTGCGTCGGTGCTGGTGAGTGTGCCTGCACTGAAGAAGGGTTCACAGGAATGGATCAAAACCCTCAAAATCATTGTAGCTGGATGGCTGGATGTAGGTGAACTCAATATGTGCAGTCCATGGACTGCTCATTTTGCAGGGTCAACAGGGCTTTGACTCATCCCTTTATGAGTGTTGTCACGGGCAATCAATCTATCTACAAGCTTGCGATGCACACATCAAAGGCTGACTGGCTCACGAGTGCAGCCTCCTTTTTCATTGGGCATCAGGCCACCTGCATATTTTGAGAGCCTTTGATCACCATGACGAGACAGACAGCCATGTCACGTTGGAACCTTGCCGGCGCTTGCGAGGCGGAAGAGTATTTGCCTGTGAAGGACGTGTGGCCAGTGACTTCTGAAAGGTTCAGTGCCTGGAGGCAAAAACAGAAGACTGCTTGAAGGCAAAACACAGGTGTTTGAGCGCGTGTCACGCATGACATTTGCATTTGCCGGAGTGGGGGCAGAGCCCAGAGCTGCTTGGAAGGTCTGCGCTGAAGTATCAACTTGGGGCCAGCACACTCAGTAAATTGGTGCATGAATACCAACACTTGAACCTGCGAGATTGTAAGACAGGAATTTTTGGCAGCCCTGAATTTCACATCATTTCGTGTATAGAAATCCTCAAGGATGGTGCCGAAGTTGACAACACTGGCATGACTCCTGGCAGCATCGAGAGACAAACCAAAACAGTGTGAACGTCACCGGACATGCTCCATCCGAGTCTGGCTGGAAACTTGAAGACTTCAGGATGCCTCTTCTTCAGAGGAAAGTGTCAAAGATTCTTGTGGTCGACAGCACCAACGTGGAATTGTCAGAGGCATTGATGTGTTTTTTTGCTGTCGACTTCGAGATCACGCTGCAAATAGATTAATTATACTAGGTTGTACCGTTTGTTATACCGGATAATTTGAGACAGTTTTATTTCATGTTAAGATGAGTTGTACCAATGTGGCACGGTGTTTTTTCATGTCTCTGTCTTTTCTCCAATTGTGAGCGAACAACATGGCAACATGAAGTCTCAACGAGGACATCGACTTTTGTACAGCCAACGTCCTCGGCCTCTCTCTCAAAGGAAAGGCCAGTGGAAGCCACCTGACTTTGCAAGCTTCGCACATCTTGACAACAGAACTGCCTCAAGTCAAGTTTCCGAACAAGAATTTGGATGCTGCTTCCATTTGCGCCCGTCAGGTGTCCAATGATTTGCTTGATAAGTTTGGATATGCGGCTGAAAATCCGGGCGAATACCTCATCTACAACCAGGCCGCATCGTGTGACACAATCGCATCGTTTGACACGATGGAGTCACGCGTCTCTTTTGGCGGAGGTGTTTCATGCAGATGAGCTGCAGCCGTTGCTTTGTGAGTTTCAGAGCCCTGGCATGCCGAAAGGAAACCAACACTTGCTTAGTTTGATGACAACAAAAACCATGCCAAGTTCAATCTGGCTGTCTCACGATGATTCCAATTGCCCAGTGGAATGGGTGGTTTTGCTCTTAAATCCCTCAAGCATGACCCGCAGAAACGGGCGTTGGGTGCAATGGAGGCTGTTTTGCTCCGGCAGATAGCCTTGACCCAATCTTCAATGCAGTGTTTCATGTTCAATGTATGGCTGAACATTCAAGTTTGTTCAATTGAAACTGGTTGTCATTGGTTGTCCACAAGCGCTAAGCAGGACCGAGTGTTATACACCATTGAAAAACACACAAAAAAAGACACCGAAACCATGGCCAGAAGTCGCATTGCGTGGGGCCAAAAGTTGCGTGCCTTGTTTGCCATTTTTCTTGCAAAACCATCGGACTACTCATGGGTTCGTTCAGGAAGAAACGGATGGCGGGCGACGCCATGGTGGTCCAGCGAGACTTGGAGGCGGGGCACGGCGGTTCGGTGGCGACGCCTTGGTTGGTGGAGGCGGTTTCGGCTCTTATCTATCGGGAGCCCATTTTGGTTCACATGTAAAAGGAAAATGAACTTATTTGGAGATGTTGTGTGGGTGTTGCGGTATCGACTCCCCAACAGCAATGTTCTTCTCCTTGTGGTTCATTCGCTATCCAATTCTATCCAGCCTTGCCCAACATCCCTTCAGGTGCTTGCCAACAGCAAGTGGGGTATTGAAGGCAACTGGAGAGTGTTGCTTGGCACGAGGCAGAGGATACCCCACATTAAATCACCCATCTCAACTTCATAAAAACTGCTGCTTGTAGAGGTTTCATGAGATTTTGATGCCTTCAAAAATTGATGCAGAAGATGCACTTGATCCATCATCAGCCTCTTTCAACACACCACCAGCAGCTCAGGTCTGTGGTCTTTGCCTACTTGAGCAGCCCACGGCGCTTTACCGTAAACCTTCCGCCCGAGACTCTACAGGCCCTAAGACTCACTCTACTTCGGCGGGGGAAACGGTCCAGTTGAAGCGGAATTGACCGCAGGAGGTCGAGAAGGGCAGTTTGGGACCGAGCGACCAAGAGCGACAAGCGAAGAGTCAAGACACGGTTTCGTTGGACGTCTTGGGACGCACTTGGAGCCGTACCTTGGAGCTATGCACTTGTTCCTAGTAGCTTCTTGTTACTACTAGTAAGGCACTTGTTACTACTAGCGTGGCACTTGTTCCTAGGTTCGGGTAAATTTGCCAACTGGCCGCATTTTAAAACGTGGCAGCCTCAGAGCAGTGGGTGATGCCAATGCTCGTATCGAATGGAGTGTGCTTCAAAGCGTTCAAGGTCATCCCAGAACGGGCCCACTAAGTTCACATCCTACACACGTGAACAGGTGCAGGATGGTCGAAAATCAATGTTGTTCTTCAGCAATTGTCACAATTGCAGGTCAACCTTCTTGCTGCACTCGGAGAGTATATGGTTCGTGCCCCGCTGGCAATTCAGGACGTTTGGAGTGTCAGAAACTTGCAGTGCTTGGAAGAGCCAAGCAGCCAAGGTTCAAACACTGATTTGTTTATGCGGTTCTTTCTTTGAGATGCCAAAAGTGCATTCAAAAAGTGCTGCAGTGTGCTTTGCAGTGTACTTTGCAAAGTGAAAGTTTGAAAGAGCTTGGTGCAACATACACTGAGTGTCCGCAGCTTGACTCACGCCAAACTCCAACTGATTGCAACAGCAGCTTGATAATTCTTGTGAATAGCGGAAGTTTGCTGTTGACTCCTCACTACTCTGTTTTGAAAAGTAGCACTCATAATTGTAAGCAAATTGTGTGTGTATGTGTGCTTTGCTGTTTATGCTAATCCCAACTAATCACGCAAGTTCTTTCAGGGTTCCATGTGGCTCCTTTGCGTCTTGCTTCTGCCTTTCAGCGAAGCCCTGGAAGCGCCGGAAGCTTTGGCACTTCAATTGGACGAATGTGATGGAAGCGAGGAAAACAGGGAAGCTTCAGGAACCTGTGAGGCTTCATGGTTGCAGCAGCGGGCTCTGTACCGAGATGTCTCTGCGCCACCCCAAAACGGCGTTGTTCCGGGTGCAGACATGGCACAGACCGCAGTCAATGAGTCAAGCGGCTTTTGCGACAGCCACACCGACGGCACGTGCAAATACTTCAGCTGCAGTTCTTCAAGAGGACCAACGCAATGTGTCCAAGGACAATGCCGGTGTCAGCCAGGATATTGTGCTATTGGAAGTAAATGCGTTCTGAATGTCCACCAGCAGAACTTGCTGCAGTGCCCCCAACGAACCGGTGGCACCTGCAGCTGGTTTGGCTATTGCTACAACTTTCGTGGACCAACTCGCTGTGTGAATGGGGAGTGCTTGTGCCAACCAGGCTCCTTGCCGATCTTGGACGTCACCCAATTACAGCTCCAGAACTGGCGAAGCAAACCAAAGACCTTTTTGGCAAGGGTTTTTGTCAAATTCCCCTCTGGGAATTGAGCAGTTCGAGTCTGGTTCGGGCAGGTATAGCTTTCTTATTTTGAGGCTACAGGCTACAACTGTTCATGAAAAGAGAGTGCCGACGTTCAGCTCTAGGTGGTCCGCCAAGAACTGTTCAACATCCCAGGCTTGACTGCTTCGGGCTTCTTCAGAAGTAGAATGATCTAGTATGTTTTCGTGCGGAGAAGCGTTGAGTCCCTGGATATCCCTGGTGCAATCAGCATGTTCGTTCTGTACACATCCAAAGCAAGAAAACAATTTATGGGGGAGACCAAGAATAGAAGCTTTATGCCTGATTTTTGATTAAGGTGTCAAGTTTGATAATACTGACTATTGCAAGACGCAATAAAGGCAATGCAGGAGATGTGTCATCAAACTGCACTTGGTGCAATACGTTGCAGCCCTCCAAATATGGTGCATCGGCATGCATTGGCTAAGGCTATTGTTCGGATGATGACGGCAAATGTCATAAGAAGCTACCTGACGTCAAAGCAGATGTGGTCCCCATCAATGACCAGATCAGAACGTTCCCACCACGCCAGGACCTGCACATCCTGCGTGTTGTTTTTGTTGAAACGACATCACACGATATGAGGTCCCGCAAGCTTCTGCAAGTAGTCCAGACTTCGGAGAGTTTTTGTAAGACTCTTGTCACATGCAACGCCGTCATGTACTACATGTTTGTTGAGCTGGTTTTGCCAGTGCTTTGCCTCAGGAGCAGCTACAGACAGCTGTTGCTTTAAGTGGTGGAGGCACCAGAGCAATGGTGGCAGCGATTGGAGCTCTTCGTGGGATGGAAGAGCTACAGTTGATGAGCCACGTCGATTTGTTGGTTTCGGTCTCCGGGGGCAGTTGGACGGCTGGACCCTACATGCCCCCGAGCGGCAAGCGTGCTCCTTTTCTTTTTGGTTGGGACCGAGAGCTTGGTTCTTGTGCGGACCTCTTTTTGGAAGTAGAGGAATTAATGGGAACATGCAAGAGAAAGCAACAGTCAGACTTGAGTGAGAAAAGGAACCCAAGCGAAGACTGCGAAGACCAAGTGAAGACGATGATGAATTAGACACTTTAAAACCATTTAAACCAAGAGGGATCCGATGTTTGTTTTCCATCCAACGACCGCCACTGATGGTCACTCAGGTTCGCTCACATGAGTGACAAGGAACTCTTGGGATCGCGCACCAAGCCGTCCGAGCTCTCCTTGCCGGACCGCGCGCGGTTCGCCGAGCGCTTCTTCATGATACTTCTTTGCTGTGGAGAAGGGAACAAGCGACTTGAAGGATTTAGGATGAAAACGAAGAAGCATATATCATATCTTATATATATATTATATAATGTTCACATCGCAAGAATAAACCTACCCCCTGATGTGAAAGGCAAACATTGGGTAATACGATTGTGAGAGCCACAGCCCACCACTGCTTCGCCATTCGGATCCCATGGGTTGGTTCATCGATTCGCCAGGAGCTGACCAAACGACCCGGTGCCATTGGCGCCACCGCCTCAGACGGTTCCAAGCAACCGAGTGGTTGGCCACCGAGTGGTTTGTCCTGAGGAGTCCGCCACGCACGATATCACCGGAGACTTGGTTTCAAGTTGGGACGTATCAGCCATGCATCTCAAGTGTTGAGCATAACGTCTACAGAATTCTATAGACGACTAGTTCGCTACCAGGAGCAAGGGCATCGCTTCTAGGAGCAAGGATGCTACTAGGGGCTCCTGGCCGTACTACTAGGAGCAAGGACGCTACGAACGGAGCAAGGGCATCGCTTCCGATGTCCACAACATATTTTTGGTTCAGAGTCACCGTCCCACTGCTTGGCCCAGATCTCTTGAAACAAGCCTTCTTCAACCATGATGACCCACATGGAATTTGGGTCAACACCTTCAACAAGGCTTGGTCACGTTGAGCTCGAGGTCTTGTTGACCCAAGCCTCTCTGTCTAAAACAGATCTTGTTGGAGCCGCTGGGCCTGGGCAACACCAGCAAGTGCGCTCCTTCTCGACGCGCGCGGGACCTCGGCGGTCGTCGCGCGGATCTTGTTGGAGCTGTGGATGTTTCAAGGTACATGGCTTCTGATGAGCAGAGCCTGCAGCGAATTCTTCAAAATAATCCTCACTTGCGAAGAGAGGAACTGCATTGAGACTGCCAAGTAAGCAAGAGACGCTAACTATATCTAAGACTGCTTGTACACTATACACGAGATGAGGCCAAACGACTATGTGACTATGCCCCTCTGCATGGATGTGTGTTCTTCCCTTTACCGGAGCAGTGGACACATTCTGTTTCTTCTGCCAAGAAGCGCCCACTGGTTTTCTACTTCAGCGGGTTCTGCAAACCGGTGAGGACTTCATTCTACCTCCAATAGATCGACCAAGAGCATTCGTCATGTTGCTTGCTGAGCACATGGCCTCTCTCACATGGTGCTCAGCACCGGCACCACTCCGTGACGGCTGTCCTGCTTGCCTCAAGGCTTGGCGTATTGCTTGCTCCCCTTGGTCATGAATCGGAAGACGACACAGTGGTGTTGGGTGCTCAGGAAGACGAGACGGATTCTTTTTGGCGCCCCCTTTTTGCTTTGACAAAGACTTGAGGTCATTGCAGATGTCGCCGGACTTCTCAGGTTCTCCATTCTATCCTGGAGGCGTGAGCTTTTTGCTGCAAAAGAGCAAAAGAGCAACCCTATCAGACTGCTGTTCACCCAGAGGCCACGGCAACATCAAGTACGACGAGGAATCCACGAATTGGTTCACACGGGCCGATATTCCGGCGCTGAAGATGGTGGATCCCTTACCTGTCGGAGGGATGAGAAACACGAAAAATTAATGTATCGACATATTTATAAGTCTGGAATGCGCAGCGCTGCTTGGCTACACGGTTCCCATGTTTCAGGTCATTGGTGGTGGCATGGTGGAGACTTTCGCCTTTGGAGGCGACACACCCTACGACCAGAGTGGCCAGTCCGGAGGAGACCGGCGCCGTTGGGACCGCAGAGACCGACACCGACCGGGCCAGTCCGTCCGGGATGGAGCTGTGTCGATCGTGACATGTGACGACCGACAACTACAGAGACCTAGCAATGTCATTTATAATCATTTATATACAGTATATATATATATATATGTATTGAGGTGTTTTTCCAAATCTGTTTCTTCAGGCCATCGTCAGATTTAATTCTTTTTGCTTTCATGGTTTGTTCTTTTGGGGTTACTAATCTCGTGTGTCCAACTTCCGATCGCGCCAGCCATGAACTCACAAAATCAACATCAATGACAACCCACAATGATGATATCGGTCATGGCTCGACAGCCAACGCACTGTCAACAGCAAGGACATATCCCAAAGGCAAGACCAACGACAGGTCGGAACGACGGCAATGACACGCTGACAACAGCCACACGACAAGCCGCGCCAAAGCAGCAATAACCAGCAACTTTCACGAGCGCAGCAACAGCATTAGTAGCAAACCAAACTGGCTCCGTGCAGTGCTGTTCTCTCTTCATCTGCTCAACGGTGAGGCCCAGTGGTCCTTGTTTGCCTCCATTCGGGTAGTCTATGGTCCAAAGTGCTGGCTAGCCTTTGCTGCTTTGTGCAGCTGCCGACACTTTCCATACAAGCGCAGCTCTTGGTCGCCTGGAACTCTGCCTGAACAGCTTGCGGTCGCGAAGGAATCCTCCGAAAGTCAGCATGGAAGTCCCAAAGTCACAGGGGACCCCTGCAGGACATGGAGTGAAGATGCCATCGCCCTCGGAGCCCTTGAGCCTCGCTAAGGCGGTTTCAGATGCCATCACTCACTTGGTGGGTTCAGGTTGAAGCAAGGCCTATAGCTACATCCCAAAAGGAGCAATGAGCAATGGGCCTACATCCTACATCGACCTACCTAGATAGAAGCCACATCCCCAAGGCATCCAATTGCTTCATGTTCCGCTTTGAAGATGAAGAACTGGGCACTCACAGTCGCTCTGTGTCGAGGCCATTGGAGTGAGTAGCGCAGCCTTCACTGCGATGATCTCTCAAGCGCTCAACAACTTCGGAGGACAAACCATGCAGGCCAGGCAGATGAAGTGTTTCATCTCATGGAAGCGAAAGATTGCCGAACGATCTTGTTTCCATGTTTTTTCTCCGAACACGTGGGGTTTGGAGGCGTTGATCCCAGTCACCACTATGTGGCCCATCACTTCAAGAACACAACCTGGCCCCAAGGCCTGCTTGTTTGTACTGTGGGTGTTTTTTCATTTGTTTGTGTGTATTCTGTGGGCTTTTCAATATGTTTTATGTTCATTTCATACGCAATTGTTTGAGGCTGCAGCCAAGTTTAAGATTGGAGATGGTGGACACATGGATAACTCTGGCTTATTGCCAATTCTGCAGCGCAAGGTGGGATATGCCAAATGCCGCCGTTTGGATCTGACACCGCAAACTGTTTGAGGTACCAAAGGTGGTGATGTTCGTCAACACAGACATCCCAATCAGCTTAAAGTCGGACCGCTGACTGGTGAGACGCCTTAACCTACTAGCAATGGCCTCCAACCTAATAGCGATGGCCGCTTCGGCAGTTGTATCGCATACCCCGTATTGGCGGCTTCGGGTCTTGCAGGATTTTTGTGGATCCAGAAGAATGTTTGCTGCTTAGATCGTTGAACGACTAAACAATGTCTGCACAGAATGTTTTTCAGCGAGGATGTGTGTTTGTGTCTTTCTCCTGGCACGGCCTTTTTGAGTCAGGACATCCCCAGAGCTGAACAGCGCAGCTGCAAGCTCAGTGCACTGATGCAGCTGAGAAACTGAGCGGTAGCAGAAAGATGCAAGATTTGGGAGCGGTAGCAGAGCACAGTACATCAATGTATTTGGCTGCATGTGCACAGACACCCTAGAAAGAAGGCCGAAGCCCCATTTAAGTTATGCAACTGCAGAGGAGAGTTTCGTGCTTGATATTTTGACAAGGCCACTTGGTACTTTGTTGACAAGTTTGGCTTGGCAGCTCACATGAAGGGGCAATTTCAGATGCACAATCAGGCAAGCAAATGCGTAGTCAAGTTGCTGATCCTTGCGGGCAGCTCTACGCAGGTCTTTCACTTTGCAGATCTACAGCCGATGCTTTGTGACTTGCAAACCCACAGGTGCAAGACATCACGAGTCTACATGACAATAGCTCACTCTTCAAATGCTTGATCATTCTTGAGATGAATGATGACTATCACGCTATAAGGTCTAAGTCTCTTTCTCTCTATATATATATGTATATGGTGACTCAAAGATCATGCATTATCATGCACCCAACACTTAGCTGCAATTGTCTCGCAGATTTGATCACTTTCATCTGTCTTTAGAAGCGACCGACCTCTCGTGACTCACCAGGCGTGCCGGCAGGCCCGCCGCGGCTCTTCGCAAGCTGGAGGTGTTGAAGAACAGTTGGTGCAGGTCTCAGGTCGATGCCGACGATGCCAACGGCGGACGAGTCAATTGTTTGTTTTTCTGTGACTGGATGGTAGAAGCAACGACACTAGTTCATTCTGCCAGGTGGTGGAGAGTTGGTAAAAGATTGTAAAAGCCGTGAACTCTTCGTGCACATTGGCATGAGGTGGGGCATTGAAGGAGGCTCGACTGATGCTTTTGGCCGCGCATCTTTCAGCCGTTTCCTTTCAGCATCTTTCAGCCTTTCTGTTTCGTTTGCAGGTTGGACTGTCGAGCTGCTGGTCATCTACATGGACAAGACCCGACTTTTTGAGCGTCGCCTTCCGGAAGACACCCGTAAGGCGCACCGGACCGTGCTCGAGCCGGTCGAGCCTGTCGAGCGGGCTCCAGTTTCGTTGCATGGACCGCGTGTGTGTTGCTTTGGGCTGAAAAAGACAGGAGATCAAAGCTGGCAAAGATGGGATGTTTGTGCCCTGATCGCAGAAATGGCCAATGCAATGAAGCCACAGAGATCAATGAAGCCACAAAACAGAAATTGAACAATCACGAGTTATGAACAAAATCAATGGTCATAGGAACTTCTTGGGGATGGTGAGCAGGTCGGCCCGCCTGCCCCCTTTTTTCCAAAACACCAATTGACCGATCGTCAGGCTTCACTATCGCATCGGTGTTTTAGATTCTAGATCATGATTTACTTTAAAATCACATGATGCCAGCCGAGGCGAATTTTCCACACTTCCCTTTGATGCAACAGAACCCCGGATCCCTGACCTCTTTCACCAGTGCACAGGCGAGGGCATCCATTCGCTCTTTAGCCTTGTGGAAAGCGCTTGACTGTTCATGTAGTCCAGGGCTAGTCCCGTGCAAGGTCAATTTGCTGTCCGCTCAAGTAGAGCGTCAAAGCTGCAGTTGGATGAAGAGAAACACGAGAAAACGATGCAGGAAGGAAGACCCAAAACAAGAAATGAAGACTGTCAGCCAAAAAGAATGTTTTGTCTAGTTTTGTCTTGTGTTCATTGCTTTTAGATAGAGTTCGATGAGTTCGGTTCTCCTTTGCAAATCCTTTGCAAATTATGCAAAAGGATTTGGAATCGAACTGCTCAAGGAACTTTGCCGTGGGAAGTTCTTTGTTGTTGCTAAGCGATGAGCCAGCCGAACCCGGAATTCAAGAGGGGGGGATGGTCCAATTGTCTCACGGTTCAGCAACAGAAAAGTCACAAAAGGGACCTGGACCTTCCAATGTCTCCTCTAAGCGGTCCGTGTCTAAACTCGTCTAAACGGTCCGTACGTCGGTCGGTGAGTGGTCCAAAGCGTCCATCTTCGTGAGAAGCATCACCAGAAGCCCGGTAGAACAGCCCGGTCCAGGGATCCGGACGGAGTGACCTGCTGATCCCACTAGGGTGAAGACTGGGACATGTCAGTCAAGGTGAAGAACTGGCACACCTTCCAGTTACATCCAGTTACCTTCCAATGTGTCATGTGTTTCTTCCCGCAAACTTGAACTCTGAGGTTTTCCGTTCGAAAGCATGCAGGCCTTTTGCGGGAGGTCCTACAAGGTGCTGAGAGTCACAGAAGATGGGCATCATTTTGGATGGACTGACCGGGAAAGTCAAGCCATGTCAAGCCTTTGTCGTTTTTGTGTTGATTTTCCTTTCGACATGTTGGATTAGAGGTATTCCCCGCAACCCAGAAGAGCCTGAAGAGAGTGACGGGTGCAAGACTTAATTGCAAGAAGATCAAGAAGCATCTCATTGCAATCAAGTTTAAGATGTCCTGTGGTTTGGCCGCTCCCAATGTGAAGAGTCAACTTCGGTGTACAGTAAGGTTCGAGGATTTGAATCCAAATGAAAGACGAGAAGGCATCAGCAAAACATGAAAGCACAAACTTCTCATGGTGCTTTTTTCAATCTAAATGGATCTTGCAAAGAGTGGTGTGAAAATGTTGTGGCCGCCTTGCGGATTGTCCTGCAGATTCATCCAACACGGCGATGGCTGGTTGGGAAGGCGCACGGTGAGCATCCCAGAGCTGAGATGGGTGATTTGTCTTCTCACGGAGCTTTCAAAAGGCTCAACACTTCAAAGCGGTCAAGAGAACCAGCTACATCTGTAGTTTTTGTGGACATGCATCAGAGTTTTACAACTGATGCACCTACCAAGAATCTGCATTCTGTACAGAGGGTTGCATGTTTGCCTAAAAAGACACCCAGAAAATGGCGGGAGTGGGGCTGAATCCTTTGACTCGTGTTGCTCTCGTTCTTTGCCTTCTTTGTAGAACCTGGCACATGCGGCCATTTGCAGCTGAAAAATTTCCGGATCGCCATGACTGAGCTTGTCAGCTACCTAGGCGTGAGAATCATGCCTCCTCAAGCCTAGCTTGGAAGAACTGGAATCCTTTGCTACTCAGCGATTTTCCACTGAGGCATTTGCCAGTCCTGCACTTCGTGGTGCGAGCATAGGAGCTCAGGCTCGGCTCGAAAATACTGGAGTGATCCCAGAGCTCCCCCTGTTGCCTGAGGCACAAACCTTGCCAAAGGAAGGTCAGAGCCTTTGGGCCTTTGCTTCCTGGGGGGGAGGAGCAAGGACGCTACTAGGGGCTCCTGGCCATACTACTAGCAACAAGAAGCTACTAGGGGCTCCTGGCCTTACTACTAGGAACAAGAAAGCTACTAGGGTCTCCGTACCAAGGGGCTTTGTCGACCAGTTGGCAGCCGCTGGCAAACCTCGCAACAGCTTCTGCAGCAAGCTCAGATGATAGAATTGAAAACAAACAAACGGTCGTCATCCCCCAATTGAAAAATGTGTGCTTGTTCTGTCTAAGACGAGAACATTTTTTTGCAAATGTGCTATTCTTTTTCAAGAACAAGGACAGATCTTGCCATGGTGCTATGTTTCAGCCTGGGCAGGTCTTTTTAGGTGCTCTTGGAGCTGCACACTCAAGGACAGAATCCGACCGCATGAATGCCCGATGATTCACAAGACTGTTGTCACGAAGATTCGCTATTTATTAGATGGGCATGAGGGTACGTCTTTAGGTGACCACCAGCAAAGTACGTGAAGACTTGGGAAGCATTGGTGGTATTGCCAAAGGCAAGCAAATAGAACAACATGTTTCAGGAAAACCAGACCAAAGATAAGTGAAGGTGAATGAAAGTCAAGCCATTTGAGGTTGATAATTGCTGGAAGCATGCTTTGTTCAGATGCTTCAAGGTGCTTTAAGATGTTTGTATCTTTCTTCATGTGACTCAATACATTTGCTGATTGTACTACTTCCACAGGTCTTTTTGTGTGCACTCCTCTGAAGTCACTTCTGTTTGCTCAATTTGACATTTAATTAGTTTCTATGGTGTCAAACAGAAGGTCAGCAAAAACCCAGCACCAATCAAGAGAAAACTGCTTGGAACAAACAGCCTGACAGACAGTGCGCACACCGTTGGATTCAGGGGGGCCATGCTCGGCCAGTCCACCAGTCCCGCGAACGACCCGGTCAACTGGTAGGTCCAACCGGTAGGGCCATGACCACCGTCAGATGTTGTGAGCACAAGAAGACCGTTCTTTCTACACTGAAAGGTGCGGTTTTCACATGAGTACGGCTACAGCTTCCTTGGGGTGGGGGCAGTGAAGACCAGAAGTCAAATGCCCCACTCAGCCAGTGATTGGAAATGGCAAGACTACGCCTACAAAACCTATTTTATGAGCAATACGAATTGAAAAGACATCTCTCTCTTTTTTGCAGGCCCAGACGGCACACCTGCCTTTTTTGAGGGGTGGATTGTGGAATTTGGGTCAAGCTTGCTCATTGCGAGGAGACGAACGCGCAATGCGCTTCGAGATGTTGTGAAGGCCACAACTGCCATGTTTTGGCATGAGCAACTCAGAGATTGCTGTGTGTTTCTCATGTTTTTTGAAGTGCAGCTGCATAGCTTTAGCATAGTTTTTCATTGGAGTGCCCATATGAGCCCATCACCCAATGCGCTTGCGTGCATGTTCTCAAAAAGCCTGATTAAGCATGGCATAAAGATGCATAAAGGCCTCCAGAGCATGGACTCATCACACATGCACGGCACACAGCTGTTCATTCTAGCTGAACGTATCTCGGCTTAGTGCACATGCTGGCTATTGTTCAAGCATGCTTTTTGATGACTTTGCACTGACTGAGTTGCCATGGTGCGCCAATCGAGATGGGCGGTTTGAAGCAGAACTGTCATGGCAAGCCCTGGTATACTCAATTTCTTAGATCTACCACCCGAAGAAGAGCCAGCATCCAAGGATTCTCAACATGGGTCGTCCAAGACGCCCAAAAAGTCGTCCCTGGCCGCCGAGTTCTTGCCGATGCTAAGCACGGAAGGACTGGAGTCCGATTCCGGCGACGACCTGCTGAGCGCTCCGGAGAGATATCAAGATGTTCTGGCCATGGCCTGTGAACCACCTCCTCAGGCTTTCCCTGGAGTTCCCACGCATGTGATCCTTCGGGTTCTGAAAATCAGCGGCTTGCCGATGGACGTGAAAGGGAAAGGAATCCCTGGACGTGAAAGTCTGGGATTTTTCCTGGAGGAGAAGGATCCTTTGCAGAGGAGCACTGTTGCTTGCAAGATGATTGGTTTGTTGATGTGTGTTACTGTTTGTTGTGGTTCTTCCACTTGATTTGTCATATTGATATTACTTTCTTTCTTTAGGCTTCAGTGGCGGTATTACCCTCGGGCGAGTTCAGGCCTCCTGGCAGGCTGGGCATGTCTGCTGTTTTTGGTGCTTAAGTTTGGTGATAGAGATTCTCACATGGGCGACCCGGTGGTCCACCCGCTCATTGGTTGGGTTAGGTTCGGTGGTCTTCCGAACCTTCCAATACGACAAGTTACGTCATGCTTTGATGTGCACCGAACCTTTAGATCAGTCAAGGCATCGGTGCGCAGAACCTCGAGTGACTCCGAAGCTAGCGCTTCGGGAGAAATGGGAGGCCTGGCTCTCGCAGATGTGTTTGCAATGGCGCAGTTCGCGTCATGTGATAGCGAGGCTGCTTGGGACAGAGATGCTCCAGGCGTGCGTCCACGGAATTCCTTGCACTTAGCGGCGTTGCTGTTTGGTTGACAAAAAAACAAAAGCGCCGGTAGGTGAAGTGAAAGTGCAACTTAAGGAGCAGGACCGTCACAATATGTGAGATATGTGTGTGTTTAAGCCCGTTCCTACTTAATTGAGTAGTGTCTACTTAATTACGGAAGAAGCTCTCTCCTAGCTACTAAAGCTTTAGTAACTGGACGCAGGATAGCTCACGCTTCTTCAAGGAAGCTCCCCCCGCCGCCCCAAAGGCAGTCGGGGGAGCTTTCTTGAAGCGCTCGCACTGATGATTTGGTTCCTAGATTTCTTGGGAAACTTATATAACATTCTGATATGGAGCTTTGTGTGCTGTGGTTGGTAGACTCATGCCCGTTCAGTATTCTTCATTGGTTTTGTCGTTGTCATGTTGGACCCATCACTCACTGATAGGACCAGTACACTGAAGTAAGGGTTTGCCATGGCTTGCATCGGTTTGGCTGGATTTGTTTTATTGTCGACGTCTATTTTTACTAATATACTTGTAGACTTGTAGATGCTTTTCACACCTGGCTCCCCTTGGCTGCCTGCAGGATTCTGTGAGCGTTGCAATATTGCTTGGTCAAGAGGTTCCGAGCTCAGCTTAGTGCTTTGCTTTCCAAATTCAACCGTTCAACATCTACAATTCAACAGATGTTCAAAGGTTTTCACCTGGTATCTCCTCTCATGTCAGTCTACTTTCATGGGCTGCCTTTTTTAATTTTTGCCCCAGATTGAGCTCAGGTTGTAGCAGTGACTGGGCAGCTTGACCTGACCGGGACACTGCGCAGGTTTTTCAGAAACCAAGAACTCTACCAGCGGCAGCCTCATTTGCAAGAGTGAGCCAATGAAGATGTCACAATCACAGTGTTTTTGTTGCGATAGATTTCTCCGTGTGCATATTCCAGAGTTTTATGCACCAATCAATGAACCAGTGTTTCAGCCTGACATCCTAATGTTCAGCCATTGCTTCAGCGAACTTCTAGACTTCTTTCAGGATCATAAGGATCTACATCTAATATCACGAACGATAAGGCCAGGATCCTCATTATCCGACTTAAGTTCGAGAAATCACTAAATCAATCTAAGTCACTAAATATCATCAACTATTCAGCTACTTAAATCATTATAGATAAATCAATATCATAAATCAATATAAATCACTTACTTCAATAATTCGATACTTTTTCAGGATCTACTTCGGTTTATCTGAAAAGACGCTACGCAGCGTTCCAAGGCCAGGATTCAGCGGCGTGGCTGTTGGGCGGTCACTCGGCTCCACCGCTCCACTTCGGCGCTTTTAAGGGCCATTAAAAAAAGAAAAACGACTGGCCCCTTCCTGGGTTGAGAAAGGAGGGCTCCCATGAGTTCCACATTGAGTTGAATGTGAGTCTTTTTATTTTGAGATGATTTGAGTTACAGTAGATTAGTGTCCGACTGAGGATTCCAGATGCCTTTGCTTACATTGCTTTGGAGCTTTTCCCACCAGGCATGGCATGATTCAATGATACACGATGCCTCCAGCATCTGCGAAATGCGCAACTCGACTAGGCTCCCAGTTCCCAGCACGACCTCTCACTGGTGAGGAGCAAATGGAGCGAAATGTGCGGGAGCTGCAGGCGCAGAATTCCAGTATATTCCAGTTGGGACCTCCTTTGGACTGTTCGAAAAACGGAGGCAGAGCCTGTCATCCATTGCCGCTTCTGCGACGGTTATGGTAGGAGGACTGGTCCGGATCGCTGGCGTGTCGAACGTACTCGAACTGAATGCCACAGTCAATGTGTCTTTGCTTCCAAGAAGTGATTGGTGACTGGAAATCGTGAGTCTTAAGTTAGTCCAAAGGAGTTGTGATGGCTGCGGCGGCCACGGGATTCTTGTGTGTGGAACCTGCGATGGCATGTGCAGAGCTGAGTGGAGTCACCACCGTAAAGTTCGCGGGGCTGGCGGTGCTGCGAATGCCAAGGCCGGCACTGCCATGTCCAGCGTGCCGTGGCAATGGCTTGCTCCAAGACAATTTAGAGGCGACGGTGTAACTTCACAGATTTGCCATGGGACCCAGTGATGATGACTAGTGACTACAGGATACTACAGTGCGTGCTTTCTGGTGTCCAACAACACACATCAACATGCTGTTTTGCCATAGCTTGCAGTGCTGGCAAGTGTTTTCTGCTTGTTGGACTACCGCGGATCTGCTTGCAAGGGCATCGGAGGGCCTTTGAGTCAAAGGAAAGTGGACGGAGAAGTCGTCAGTACAGTGCGGGGCCGCCGATGTCAAGTCCGGAGCTTAATACTTTCCGCATCTTTCAGCAGTCTTCAATCATCATCAATCCTGTACATGTGTGAAGCGTCGTACTGTGCATATCGTGTCTAATATCCCGCAGAATTGATCGTGTCCCTTTTGTTTTTCGTGGCGGCGTCGAAACTGAGAATTGCTGGGGAGCGCCCTTGACATGCAAAGCCTGCTTTGGGGCCGCGGCCCTACGCTGCGCTGCCCTCAGCCCTTGGCGAATCGATCACCAGGTTTCCCCCACACATCCTGCTCTTCATCTTCCTTCCCCCACACATCAACCTGCGAAGTTCCCCATATTTCTGAGCTGAGCGTCGCATGGTGGCGCAGTGCTCAGACTGTAAGTTTCTGAGGCAACATCTGCAACGGAGCTGGGTGGTCAGTTTGCACTCGCTGCCCCAGCTCCGCGGGTTACTGACCTGAGCTGCCACGTGAACGGAGTTGACTCCAAAGAGCGGAGCGTTGTACATACCGAGCCGGGAATGCAAGCGTGGTACATGTGCAAACGTTCAGACTTCAGAGCTCCTTGATCCTCCTTGCAGGTCTTGCTCTTGTGCAAAATGCAAAGTAGCAAGGGCATCGTTACTAGTAACAAGGGCATCTTAAAAGACTTTCACCCAACACAGGCACTTTCACCCAACCTGGCAGGTTCAGGCGGTCGATGTAGATGTTGAGCAGAAAGAGGCACTTCCTTTCCTTGTTCCTGCACCGAAAGGAAAGGTTGCCTCAGCAACCTGTGAGTTCAATTTGCTTTAGCTGAGAGCCAACCTTTCATCCACCCTTTTCTCAAGTGTTGTTATGTTGTTGCAGTCTGTTCAGAGATTACGCGCATAATCTTCGCACTCGGAGCGGAGCGGAGTTGACCCGCTCCGAGTGCGAATCTGCAGCTAAGCAGGCCGTAGCATTGCGGGATGGCCAGAATGCCGAGCTTGGTGAAGTTTTGGATCAGGAGCGCAATCTTCACGGTCATGACAACTGCAAGCGTTTGTATCTGGAGCCTTTTTTGTTGGTGTCCCAGGAGTATACGGCAGGCTTCTATACAGACATTGAGTCAGAGTCCTTGCCGAAGGGCCTTAACGAGGATGGATTCCAAAGTTTCATTGTGTTTTCATTGGATGGAAGCTTTGTAATGCCTTGCAAGTGTGTATTTCTTGGTGAGGACATCGTTCGGAAGATCTGGGAGATTAAGGAGGAACCAGACTGGATGCTAGAATTTCGCCTGAATGCCTTCAGGAGCTGCAATTTTTTTGAAAATGTAGAATTGAAAAGCAGTGGAGCAAATCCTCGTTTGCAGGAAGTGGAAAAGCATGAAGATGCCAGAATGGGCACACTTGGAGATGGCAGAGATTGACTTTCAGGACTGGACCGCAACTGCTCAGATCTGCAAAACGGGAAGGAAGCTCAGAGAACTCAGCCAGGACATTGTATACTACTCCAGACCAAAGTCAAAGGCCAAGAAGCAGAGCCTCGACGAGGCTTGAGCTTGAAATCAGTGACACCGAGCCGCCAAACTACATCCACTATTCCCTCACTTGTTGGGTTCCCAATTACTCACCATGCCTGAAACAACTTCAGCCACGAACGAAAGCTAGTACTGTTTGCCGCCATGTGGCAGCAATGCTTCGCAGATCTTTGCAGTTAAATCCGCATGCGTGATTTGCTGGCTACTCTTGAACTTGAGACACCTCGAGGTGGACCCCGAGCTTCTGAATACCTTTGAGAAGTTGGGCATCCCGCTTACGGAACAGAAGGCACATTAACATTAAGTACAAAAAGTTTGCGTGTTGCAGCACTTGAGCCAGCTCCCCCTCATGCTTTGACTCTTTGAAGCAGCTTGTGGAACAATTGCTCGATCCCAGCGCCTGGCCAACGTGGCGGTGGATGCGGTCTTCGATAGTGAGAGCATTGGCACAACCTTTCAGAAAGAACTTCAAGAGGCCATGTGGGACCGAAGTCAAGTTGGTTATGTTATAGATGTCATTGAGCAGGATCAAAGATGGGACTTAAATGAATTAAACTTGGCCTTATGTGGAGAAAACAAACACCAAGAGTGTGTGTGTGTGTGTGTGTTTCATCGCTTAGGAAGACGCCTTCTGCCGTCAGTCTCGTCGTTGTCACCAGACTGGTTTGGTCCTGTGGTCCTATGCATCTACAGGATCCAGTCAATCTTCAGAACGCACCTTTTGGCGCCTTCTTTCGCTCGGCCAAGGACATCAATTGTCCTAGGTCCTAAGCGAAGCGTTACAGTGTTGTAAAACCCTTGTATTATGTTGCATTTTGTTTAATTGATATAATATATATATATAACAAGAAGAATGGTAAATAAATCTGGGATTCATTCAATTTTGGTCCTGACATTTGGCAATGCGGACATGGTTCCGTGGATGCTGCCACTGGCGGGAGCAAAGGATATGTCAAAAGTCATAGAGTCATACTAGTATCGCACCATTGCATGCTAGGATGCTTTGCACTATTGCCTTTCATAGTATCCATGCAGCAAATGAATCAGTCCAACAGCCCAGTTATGGTTGCAGGCAGGAGTCATTTTCTGCTCCATCAACGAGGCAATCAAGGAGCATCGATCTGGGGAGGGAGGACACCGATTGGACCAACGCATGTTGTTTGGGTCTTTGGAGCGCCAGGAACATCCAGAGCTGATCAAGAAGTACTTGGGCTCTGTTGTTCCAACTGCTGACAACTATTTTGCTGCTCTGAATAGGCCTGTGTGTTGTTTTGCCTGTGTGTTTCAGTTCCAACCGTTCGACGGTGTTCGACCATGTGTCTCATGAAGAGTCTCATGTGTCTCATGTTCCTTCCTGCTCGCAGTGCGGTCTTCAGCGATGGATCCTTTTGCTACATCCCCAAGGGCACCACGTGCCCGATGGAGATCTCCACCTACTTCCGCATCAACAACAAGGACCTAAATTCGCAGAAGAGCAAGAAGAATATCTTTAAGAGCGGGTGTCCAGAATCCTCCAGAAACTGTGTGAATGCACATGAAACCTCAAGCTGAAGCTTGGGAGGAGTCTGGTCAATTTGAAAGAACCTTGCTCATTGCTGATGAGCAGAGCTATGTCTCATACTTGGAAGGATGCACTGCTCAAACCTCAGCTAGTGAAAGAAGGCCAACATGACCAGTTGCCATGCGTTTCATGCTGTTTTCTGATGACCTAGGCACCAATGTTCGACTCAAAGCAGTTACATGTGGGGGCGCTTGATGATGTATACTCATCCAGTTCTGTCGGACACAACCTTCAAAACCACAGGTGTTCATTGATGATCGTTCCTTTTACTAGTCGATTTGAAGAGCTGAAAGCTGGGGACTGACTTTTCGGGGACCAAGGCTGCAGTGGTGGAGCTTCATGCTGCAGAGGGCGCCGAGATCAAGTGCTTCACCCGAGTTTCACCCAAGACATTGGTTTGAATCATGTCAATAGAGTTTCTCCGCTCAACCGTGCTCAAGCATGCTCATGGGTGGACCTGAACGGCTGTCTTCAGGTACTCCACAGTGCAAAATTGGTGCCCACTTCAGCCTCTTGAGCTTTGGATACTTGGCCTTCTAGAAGGCCTTCGTACTTGGCAGGTACGCTGGTGATAAGAACGGAAAGGGTGGAATTCTCAATCTGGTGCACCACTCAGTCAGGCCTGGAAGGTCAACACATGTCAACACCGTCAACACCATGATTCCGAGATTCCTCTCATGTCCTCTCCGTATGGATTGGAACGGCCACATCAGTAAGATGAAACCGTGAGTCAGTGTAGCCATGCTGAGATGTGACCAGACGGGACCAGATGTGACGAGCCCCTAGGTCACAAAGCGTGGTGTGTGTGAGGGGAAGAAGTCCAAGATCTCCTGGACCCAGGAGCCAAGTCATCACTGCTTGCTTTTCAGAAGACATTCATGAGACTGCCCAGCTCGCTTCGCGTCTGGTATTTCATATGTCTACATGAACTGTAACGGCCCTGTGCGAGGTTGAAACTGGCTCCGCTGTCACCTGGAAGTACCCATCCTGCGTGCTGAAGGCGCTCCCAGCTACGCCTCTCGCGAAGCGTTTGCTTGCTTGGTGAAAACCAATCAAAAACCCATGGGAGGGCGATGGATCGATTGGCGAGTTCTACTCTGTGGCTTTGACCAACAACTACCAGCAGGCAGGAACAGAACCTGGTGCGTTCGGTGTAAGTCGTGTGACTGCTTGCTCATGAATCCTCCATAGATCTCTACCAATTGCCTGCTTGCGACTCGCGGTTCCAGCAGCAAGAGAGCAGCGTTCTATGTCGACCTCACTTGAACATGAAGTGGCTTGAGCATGGACTGGAGAAGCCTTTGGAATCCTTGTTTTGGCCAACAAAAAGGGATTTCTCAGGATGTGGGACTGAGCTCAACACCACTGACTGATGAGTCATGTGTTGTTCCATTCAACTGACAAAAGACACGAATGTTCAGCGACACGACTACTCCGTAGAATGTTGAGCTTTGATGGCCTTTTAGCCCAGGTGGGCAGATTTGAACGATTGGTTGATTTGTTTGAGCAAATGAGATGATGGCATTGAGCTTGAAGAGATATGATCCTCAAAAAATGGTTACAGTTGCATAGAGATAGAGATTCCAGGTCTTCGAAGCTGTTGAAGAGCAAGAAGAAGAGCATGCAGAAGAGGCTGAGGCTGAGGTGGACTTACTCGAATTCCGGATTGGAATGCAGAGTTGCATCGTTTGCGTATAAAGCTACTTGTACAGTATGTGATCTCAGACGGGCATTTTTGACTCGTCAAGTAAGTCTCAGGCAGCCGTCCATTCGCCTTTGCATCAAGAAGAAGTCATCCCTTTCCCAGAGGACAGGCCATTCCCATCTCAATCGGGCCCAACTACAATCAAAAACATTCAAAAATCAAAGCCTCTAGAAGGTGCCTGTTCCTGGCTGTGCAGGAAATAAGCCAGATCTCAAGAGTCGGGGAGCTTAAAATTTAGGATTTGCAAGGCTGCAACTAGGTGTAGGATCGTGGTTGCATTGATGCTAATTCACAGCAAGCTGCCATCCCCCACTGGGTTTATTGATCCTAGTCCCGCCCTCCAAGCCAACGAGTGCTGCTGCCTATGGCACACACTGCAACAAGTTGTGCAACAGTTTGATAAATAATGTATGCCATACCTCAGTGGGTGTGTATTGGAATAGGGAGAACTAGATATTCACCGAATTGATCCGCTCCATGTATGTTTATCCCAAAAAGTAGTTGATGAACCACCTGAAGAAAAGAGTTCATGTGAATGACATTGCCTGCGGAAGTTGCCGAAACCATATAGGATAAATTGAGTGAAACGAAGCAAAAGATTGATCTTGGCTGACACCAATTGCTTGGGGTTCGCCTGCATCTCATCAAACCTGCTTGCTGCTTGGCTGCAGGCTGCTGATGCCCTTGCTGCTTCCTTTGTTTTCCTCCATGTTCCGCCGTGGAAGTCGTTCTAACGCGCCCCTGGCGCGTTCCGTTCGTGCAAGGACTCCCCTGATCATCGTTTGGACGTCCAGAGGCATTTGTCGTCACTGAGACTGACTCAGACTCGTTCAAACGGCTTCCTTCCAAAGCGGAAACCAAAGGGTTTGAAGATGCTTCGGTGCTTCGTCATGTTCATAGATATGATTATCATAGATGATCTTGATAAGCGCTGTTCCAGGTTTCCGTGGTCCTCTCCGCACTCACCAGTCAGGCTAGCGGAGTTTGGGCAAAGGACCCAAAGCAAAGTTGCTGGGGTGGGCAGTTCTATGGCCACCTTCCAGTAGTTTAGCACATCCTTTGCGGTTCAAACGCAGGCGCGGAAAGGGGAGTGCAAGCGCACCCTGCTTGCAAAGAGGACTGATCTTGTAACACTGTTCTCCTGTGAACGTCCTTGCGGATTCGTGCGCTGTCGCTTCAGATTCTGAGGAGGATTACCTCCCATAGCGAGTTCAAGAAGGCCACCGGGTCACCGGCATCGCGGTGGGATCGCGGCGAATCGTCGGTCGGATCGGTCGGTCCGATCGTGTGCAGGCACAACAACGAGGGGCTCGACACTCCGATGTTGGGGATGACATGGATACATTGCGATTCACCGGTGGAAAGACCAATCTCCAGATGGCGGTCTTTGTGGGAAAGACTCGTTTTTTCGCATCCCTCACATAGTTCATGATGGTGTTAATAATCTTAGTATGCCTCTCAATATTGTAAACCTCAGCTTGGGTGCAGAGCGAAGCCCCACGAAACTTTGTCCAGGCCTGACTCATTAAGTCAAAACTTTTTGGCAGGCAGCCAGACTGGAAGCCGGTTCGCAGAAAGCCTTTGCCTAGGCAGAGTTTCTTAAATGCCTTGCGCCTTCACAGCAGTGGATCATCATGGCAAGCACATGAGCGTTCCTAAAATTGCCAGCTTCCTGTGTGGTGCCAAGGATCAACACTGATCAAAGTGGCACTGGCGAACAGTGGGCCCCACCAAAGATACAGGGAGGCAGATGTTGCACCGGTTGCTCCATGTCTTGGAGAGAGCAGCGATTTTTGATATGTTTTGCAGGTGGAGCTTGGGGTGGCATGTTACAGGCACAGCACAAGAGGCTCGATGCGACTGGAGAGGAGTTGGAGCAAAGGCAGAGAGACAGAGAGAAGAGAGCTTCTGACAAGACCTCCAACCTAATGGCAGTGGCCTCCAACCTATATACCTCCAACCTAATAGCGATGGCCCCCACCCCCCCCAACTTAAGAGCTTCTGAGCAAGAATCTCTTGACTTCAAGACTCCTCCAGTGCCCCACCAGAGCCACAGTTGCAAACATTGAATTGATGGCCCGAAGTGAGGATTGGCAGGACAGGGGCCCAATCCCAACAAGTGCCCAGTGACCGTGACCCATTTCACCCGAGACGGTGCAGGGTTCCAACAATCACCCACAGATTTTGAGGCGGCCCGGGAACACAAGAACAGTAACCAGTGGATATTCATGTCCCGCTTCCAATCTTGCCTTGCAAGCACTGTAGCCATTCATGACAATGTCAAAGATGCTGCCACTTGCTTGCTGGCTTTAAGGACCTTAAGGTCCACAGAAGTGTGCGTTTTCGAGGGGTTCCCGAGTTTGCTTCCAAAGCTTTCGGAAAAACACATAATATAGCAAAATAGCTTCCTCATGTTGCAAGGCTTGCTGGAGTGCTTGTGCGGGACCCGGAAAGTCCAAGTGTTGTTGTAGATGTCGCCAGCATCTGGAGTCGCTTGTTCCCAAAAACTGCAGGCCAAGCAACACAGAGAGGTATCAAAGCTGAAGAATCAACTCACCGCTTTGTTCGCACCCGAGACATCCTCGAGGGAGTGAACTCCATTTCGTTCGACGCGAGTGGACTCTTCAGGCAGCAGCTGAATCGCATGGGCGGACAGGTGGGTCAAGACCCTCAAACCGATGTGGAGACCTTAGCGCTTGGGCTCAGCAAGCTCTCAGAGCTTGGACTCACCCATCAATCAGATGCTTTTCGAATTCAGGGAACCGTGCATGACTACATGTCCAAAATCGCTCCAAAGGTGGGCAGGACGGGCCTCGCGTCGTCGTCTACGGCTGTTGGAGTGAGTGAATCGGCCCTGGGCAGCCGAGCAATCGGTGCTCCGTTCGGAAGGAAGGCGCCACAATGGCGGCCCAGTAATCTACCTCAGTGGAGGCTCTTGGAAGGCAAAGCAGAACCACAGACAGTTCTTCAAGTAGAGCAGAACAGCCAGGGACAGGGCTGATTTGGCTGAAGCACGGAGTTTGATTGAGCATGCACACACATGCATAGAGTTTTTTGGAATTGAGCTCATTGGCAAATGAATCTTGACTCAGATGGCCATCAGATGGCTGACCTCTGAGGTCGTCTTTGCCAAGCTTCCTCTCCCAGGATCAGGCTGAAACTCAGCTTCGCCCAAAAAGCTTTTGGCCGTTTGGCTGTGCTTTGGCCGTGCAGGATGCCATCTCGGAACTCTCGGAGGAGAAGGCGGGCATGGAGCTGTCGGGGGTTCCAACGCCAAGCTGTTAGAGCTGTTAGCTCACCGCTTTGCTTAAATCGTGAGACGATGATTGGTACCAAGAAGCAATTCCATATTCCAACAATGCCAGATGCGGTGGGCCGCCAGCTTCTTGAGGCAGAATCTCCAGTGGCGGTGCAGCACTTGCAGGGCCAGGAGGACTCTGAGAAGTTGCCTGCCATGTCACATGGCTCAGATCAGTGAATCGGATCGAAGATGATCGTGGTGTTCACGTGTCTTCAAATGTCATGGAATGAGAAACTGAACATCCGGTCGCTCTCCATTCAAAATTCGTTGGATTGAGGCTGACCCCTAGACCTGACGTCGAGGCCGAGACTTCACATTGCGACATGCAAATGACACCGCGACGATGGTGTAGTTGATTGGTTCTTGTATGTTCTTGTTCCAGGCCCAGAAAGCCCAGGAAGCAGAATCCAGAGAAGATCCATGTGCAGATTTGATTGATGAGTTCAGCATCCAGGTGTGCAAAGCATCAAGCTAGCTCCAAGCAGCTTCTTTTGGAAATTGGGTCGTTGTTGGATGTTCTTTGCAAGGATACAGCAGAAGTGTTCTGTTCACAGTCTATGAACCAGGAGCCGACAACAGACACTGGAACAAAGAGCGAATAGGTTTCTAGTCTGGTCACTCTCACAGAGTATTGACCAACCAGGATAGCAGCGAAGTTGAAGCCGAGACGATTGAAAACGACGGCCTCGAGGCTACTTCGATTCAACTACTTCCCCACTTCAAATAAATCAGCGGTAAGATAATCAGGTGGCTCCTGATTCCGCCGATCCTGACCTTGACCACGTGGAGATGCACTGTCAGTTGAGCCCTGGCGAAGTTGGGCTCGACTGCATGGCCAAAGAGGACGAAAGTAATGGTGAAGCTGAAGAAGCTGAAGATGATGTTGCAGATGAAGCGATTGAGGACGGTTGAGCGTTGTTTTGTGAAACGAATGGTGATGAAACAGGACTTTTCCCAAATGATATTAATATATAGTAATATTAATGATGTCCGGTACACTCGACTAGGCCAACAGGGGCTCGAGCTTCTTCTTCCAGGGTTCAGGCCTTGGTGAAATGGGTCGTGGGGGCCTCCACTTGCGATGGCCTCCAGCCTAAGAGCGATGGCATCCTTAAGAGCG